TTATAATTACAGAAATTTGCTTTTTGTCAGCCCAAAGGAGTTGAATTTTTCAAACAGACAGGGCTCTGCTAGAAATATAGCAGTCAGAATACAACTGATGACTGGAGAAGGAGAACAGCACGCATTACCAAATATTTTCGGGAAATCCAACTGTCCTGAAATGAGTTCCGATGCTTATACAGCAGTGACATATCATAATAAATGTCCTGTATTTTATGACGAGATAAAAATTAAATTACCTGCTGCGCTAGCCGACAATCATCATTTACTTTTTACATTTTATCACATAAGTTGTCAAAGAAAAGTGGAACAAACTTCTGTTGACACTCCGGTTGGATACACAGTAAGAAATATTTAATTATTATTAACCCAACATGTAATCATAATTAAAATCAATATGTATAAATAAGTCATAAGAAATATCATAAATGATTAATTATTATGATTTTTAATTAATCTGGTTATAAACATTGACAAAATGAAATTTTTTATTTGTTAGTGGTTGCCTTTGCTACGTGAGGGTCACTTAGTATCTGGAGAATTCTGTTTGCCGGTAATGTTGGATCCACCTGCGTTAAATTACAGATATCTTCCGCCGGATGTTTATCTTCCGGGTACGAAATGGCTTGACAACCACAAAGGTCTTTTTACAGTTTCACTTGACACTGCGTCTTCTATTCACACTCATGATCCGGCAATAGAAAGGTTCTTATTGGCATATGATAATGTTGAAACTGGAGTGATACCTGCGAGATTAGGAGAGAGTGGCATAGAAAATGAATTAAGGTATTTTAATATTCATTGAAGTAGGCATTTTACGATCGTTATTATTATTTTATAGATCTGCCATGTTGGGCTTAGCTGGAGCTCGTCCTAAAACATTAGTTCGATTTTTGCCTGTAATTTTCGACAGCATTATAAAACTTTTAGTTCAACCCCCTCGTGTTTCTGGACACTCACTTAACGTAGGACACACATCGTTTGAAGCTCTCTGTTTACTTTTAAATAATATTTCGGTAAATTATTTTCTTGTTAAAATCAAAGCACGACAATTATTATGGTATTGTTTAGGGAATAGGGGAAACACCATCTGATCAGCATTCCCGAAACGGCCTTCTAACTACCTATATTCATTACCAATGTCATTTGCCACATCCTCTTCGAACCGCCGATCAATCTACCCTTGAATGGGAAAGTAAGACATCGTTAACCAGAAGCACTTCTCACCCTGATTTAGAAATTGCGGCGATTCAACCAAGAGGTTTAGACAGGGCTTCTAGCATGCGTTCTCCTCAAATGGATGTGAGTTCGTTAAATATTAATTCTTATCAACGTATCGTTCACCAGGAACTAGCTCTTCAATGGGTCGTGTCCAGTGGAAGATCCAAAGAATTGGCAATGCAAAGCGCTTGGTTCTTTTTTGAATTAATGGTAAAAAGTATGGTAGAACATCTTGGACATACCAGAACACTGTATGCCCCTAGAAAAATCAGATTTCCGGAACAGTTTTTGGATGATATCATGACACTGGTTCATACTGTTACTGCAGAAATCATCGCTCACAGTACAAGCGATGTAGCTCGTGCGCATAAATTAAACGCAGCACTGGCATTCTTTTATTTCGACTTGCTTTCGGTAGCAGACAGAGGATACGTATTTCAGCTTATTAGATCGTATTGTAAGCAGCTACAGGCGAAAATACAATCGATTCAGGACGTGTCATCGTTGGTAGAATTAAAACTTGAGTTCATTCGTATCGTTTGTAGTCATGAACATTACGTACCACTAAATCTACCATTTGCGACGCCATTTATGACAACTGGTGCCAGTGTTTCTCCAAGTCCAAGCATCACGAGTTCGAATAGTCAAACTTCCTTTTTATCTGGTCCACCCGCAAGTCAAGAGAGAGTTGGTGTTTTTGCTGAATTGTCTACAGAATATAGGCAACATCACTACCTGACAGGACTTGTACTTACAGATGTGGCTACTGTTTTAATAGAAATACAGTAAGTTTATGATTGTGTTTTCATAAAAAAAAACACATTTAAATATTTCTTTTTCTTTAGAAATCCTTCTCTTCATGGGAAAGCAGTGGATACTGTACGATCTCTGCTGTCGTGGCACGACTCTGATCCTCGTTTCTCTTCTCCTGAAGCAAAAAAACGGGTATCAGCCCTATATCTACCTTTACTTTCCGTTGCGATGGATGTTTTACCTCTCCTTCATCATTGGGGCAGTGATAAATCCGATCGATATTCAAGCGAAGGAATTAATACGCCTACAAATATCGATCAAAACGTAGCTTTAGCCATTGCTGGAAAACTGATTCATACCGACTCCTTTCATTCAGTAAAACATCAAAAATAAAGAGTTTCATGAATATCTAATAGTTCCTTTATTTATTTTTTTTCTAGACCCGGAAACAGAATATAAGTGCCGAAGTTACGAGACAGTTATTGAGTTGTGTGTTATGGGTATTAAAAAATACAGATCGTGATTCTTTATCTCAATGGCTAGGTGAATTGTCTTCTGGTAGAATGGGTACTTTGTTGAACCTCCTCGACGAATGTACCAGTTGTTTTGAGTATAGGCCTCGTCGAAGATCGTCCCCTCCTTCTGGGTATGCGCACGCACAGGTAAATCAGGACGTTAAGTCACGCCTGGAAGACATTATTCTGGGACAAGGATCCGCTAGAGAAATGATGCAAAGAAGAAAAGGTAATGTAAAGTACACCTTTAATTTCAATTAACTTGCCTTTTATTTTGTTATTGTTAGGTCAACCGTCGACAGAAAAGCTTCGTTGGAGGAAAGATCAAATGCCTTATCGTGCTGGCCTGGATGTTGTAGACAGGCCAAAGGACGATATCGTTGCAGATGCCAATCTGGAGGGCCATTTAGCAACGGAAGCATCTTTTATAATCCTTGATACTTTAGAACGTTGCGTTTTTACCATCGCCCAATGGGATAATCAACAGTCATTACTAGGTTCGGCGTTATCAGTTCTTTTACATGCACTGGGAAAAAATCAGAGTACAACAGTGTTGCCTCACATGTTTGCATCACAAAGGAATTTGGTTTTCAAAGTAAGAATCTGAATATTAAAAATGATAAATGACAAAAGTGCCTTAAATTGATATTTAGGAACATGTTTATTTTATTTATTATACAGAATACATAATAAATCATGTAGAGGCAAATTTATTAGGTGTGTATAGATTCGTACAAATTTCCTCAAAAACTAAGTAAAAACTTACAAACTAAGATGACAATATGATTTAAATTGAATTCTTTCTCACATCCATTAATTTGGGGAAAATATATACTAAATATGTGTTTTTTCTTTTTATAAATTGGTTTCATTTATTAAATCATACATTTTGTTTGTAATTTTAGTTTCATAGTGCAGTATTTGACGAAGAAAATGATCATTGCGCTGACTTATGTCTATTACTTTTGAAGCACTGTGCTTCAAATATTCCCTCTGTGAGATCCCAAGCAGCTGCTTCTTTGTATTTATTAATGAGACAAACATTCCAAATTGGCAACGTAAGTCTTGTTCTATAATAAAAGTATGAAAAAGAATAGAGTGCTTGACATCTTTTAGAATTTTGCTCGAGTTAAAATGCAAGTGACAGTTTCGCTCAGTTCCTTGGTGGGTACCTCATCATCCTTTAGTGATGAATCTCTTAGAAGATCTTTAAAAACAATTTTGGAATATGGAGAAAGAGATAGTGAACTTCAAGATACGAGTTTTCCCGAACAAGTTCGTGATTTGGTTTTTAATTTGCATATGATTTTGTCCGATACAGTTAAAATGAAAGAGTTTCAAGAAGACCCAGAAATGCTTATCGATCTTATGTATCGTATTGCAAAAGGATACCAAAATTCGCCAGACCTTAGACTTACATGGTTTGTTTTAACATTTTAAATTCAGAATTTCTTCAATTAATTTAATAATAATGTAAATTTAATTTATTGTAATTGAAGGCTTGAAAATATGGCAAAAAAACACATGGAACGTGGCAATCATTGTGAAGCTGGAATGTGTATGGTACACTCTGCAGCTTTAGTAGCTGAATATTTAGCAATGATAGAGCCTCTTCCCCATTTACCTGTTGGTGCTGCAGCTTTAGAGAAAGTAAGCCCGAACGTCTTGGCGGAAAGTGCCGTTTCAGATGACGTATTAAGTCCGGAAAAAGAAGGAATATGCTTAGGTTCCCATTTTTCTGAAGGGGGTCTGCTAGGACTTCTTGAGCACGCAGCCACTTACTTTCATTCCGCAGCTATGTACGAACCGATGAATGACATATATAATGTCGTTATACCTATTGCGGAACATAACAGAGACTTTAAAAAACTAGCCAACATTCATGGGTATTAGAATAGTTATTTTTATTTATTTACTTATCGGTATGTGTAGATTACATATTTTATAGAAAGTAAAATTCAAAGAAGGTTTTGTCCTATGCATGGATCAGTTCACCTAAACTAGTATACAATATTGTTTATTACGTATTTTCTATTTCTTCCCTTTAGCCTAATGAGGGCTATATGAAAGGTTTTTTATTCTATTGCAAAGTCGACACTAACGTTTCGCCTCTCTTTTTTTTTTATCTAACTTAACCTACCTAAAATAAAAATCATAGCCCTCGTTAGGCTCTGATTTCTACATATTGTTCATTTTTTTATGCATTTACAGAAAGCTTCATGATGCTTATACTCGAATAGATCAATTACAAGGAAAAAGGGTGTTTGGTACTTACTTTAGAGTTGGCTTTTACGGTTCTAAATTCGGTGATTTAGATCGGGAAGAATTTGTTTATAAGGAACCGACATTAACTAAACTACCAGAAATTTTTAATCGATTGGAGGTACAAAATTGTAACATTTATGCAAATAATTAGTTTGGTAATAAAATATGCATAATTTTTATATTTTAGAACTTCTACGCGGAAAGATTTGGCGCAGAAAACGTTGTAATTATTAAAGATTCAAACTCGGTAGATACAACTCTATTAGATCCCGAAAAGGCTTATATACAAATTACTTATGTAGAGCCTTATTTTGAACCTTATGAACTAAGGTATAGACTAACTCACTTTGATAAAAATTATAACATAAGTGAGTAGAGTTACACATCAATTTTAAATACCAAAAATCTCTAACTTTTTTTTATACATTTTCAGAACGGTTTATGTACGCTACGCCTTTTACTCCAAATGGAAAACCTCATGGAGAACTTCATGAACAATATAAACGAAAAACCATTCTTACAACCGCCGTTCATTTTCCTTATTTAAAAACAAGAATACATGTTGTAAATCGTATACAAATTACTTTAACTCCAATAGAGGTGTTTATTAATATTTAAAGTTGTATTGTTGTATCGCAAACTTTTTTCTTTTTGTTGAAGGTGGCTATCGAGGATATTCAGAAAAGAACAACGGAATTAGCAATAGCGACTTTGCAGGAGCCCCCGGACCCCAAAATACTACAAATGGTCCTTCAGGGGTGCATTGGGACTACAGTTAATCAAGGACCGTTAGAAATGGCACTTACATTCCTACCATGTGATGGTAAACCACTTACAAAACATCAAAATAAATTGAGGCTTTGTTTTAAAGATTTTTCAAAAAAGTAAGTTTAAAAATTGTATATAATTAAATTTAATATTAATATTTTCATGTTGTAGATGTCAAGATGCGTTAAAGAAAAATAAGAATATAATTAAAATGGACCAAAGGGATTACCAAAGGGAATTAGAAAGGAATTATAAGAGATTTACAGAAAAGTTGCAGCCCCTTGTTAATCCACAGACTGTGACTACGATTCCAGAAAGGTAAAAATTTCTGGGGCAAGGGTGCAACTGATTAAGACTAGTATTAATTCAATTAAATTATTTTTAGTCCGCTTAGGTACGGATGTGCTGATTCTTCCCCGTTAAGATGGTGATTATCTGATTATATTTATGGTATAGAATCATTATTAATCTCGCTTAAGTACTACACATATCAATAGCGTATACCAAAACTTTGTACTGTTATTTATTTTTACTTTTTTGTAATTTGCAGGAAATAAACGAAGTTTTATTTAATTACTTGTAAAGTAAGAGAGAATTTTGAACACTATTTCGGGGATCGAAACTTCTTTATTATATGGTTTGTGTCATCATGTGGAGATACATTGACGCCGCGTAATTCGTGGGCTTCTTTTGATCTACGTTACTCTGCTGGGGATCCTCTTATACCAGAAATATTGGAACATTTCTCTCCTGAGACTCTGGATCAGTTAAATGAGAGTCAAAGGCAGATTGGTCGACCAGATGGATTTTATTCATTATGTCCACCCCCGNGTATTACAGTTCATAAATATTTATACAATTTCTTAACTACATATATACATGTACCTTTATAAAAGACATTTACATTTTTATACAGTTTTGTTTAAATTACGAACTGTATTAAGGCATTCTTTAAATGATAACACTGATCAATTAGTAACTCATATGTGAATAATATTCTTGAAACACCTGTACATAAATTTCTTTTTCAGACTGAGTCATTTCAGCAATAATTTCGTCGTTGATGTCCGTTATATTATAAGTTTTAGATCCAACTATAACTGAAGGCACATTTGAATCTTCCTCTTCCTCGCTGTCCATTGTTTCCACTTCACCTACATCATCTTTCACCTCAGTCATCTCATCTTCACTGGAATCTGAATCTCCATGTAAGCTTTTGAGATTATTTGCAGCACTTGTGGATGTTTTCTTCTCATGTGCAAGCAATACACTCATGATATCATCTGCTGCTTTTCCACTATTAGCATTTTCAGCTGCTTCAATAATTGATTCTGCTGCTTTTATATCAACTTGAGAGTCAGTATTTGACATTACAGTAGATTCCATCATCCAGATTGGAGCTTCTTTACGGTTGTTAAGTGCAGTGTTTATAGAATTATCTCCACCTATGGTAACATCTACTCTGGTTTCTTCAACTGCAAAGCCGGCATTCCGTGTTGCTTCACCAGACCATTGCTCTAATGGATTGTTTGATTTCTTAGCATCCAAACCTCTTATTGTACTAATATCAACTGGTTCAGGTTCAAGGATTTCTGGCGCTAGTTTAATACCTTCTACTGCACGTAATAGAATAAATAGGGGTTCTAATTGTTCATTGAACTTTGCTAAAAGAAGTCTGGAGTCTTTTTTAGGCATTGCACTCTGATCTTCTTCAACAACTTCTCTGCAGTATGTACAACGAAATTCACTTGTTACAAAGTCATACAGCTGGTCAGCTTCCAAATCAGTAAATGTTTTTAAACAGTTAGGGCACTTGAAACTTGCTCTGCTGGTAGCATCTCTTTCTTCTGTCTCCATCCGTTTTCTCATAATATCCAATTTGTACTTTACTACATTTACGAAACTTTTGTAGTTTATAAAGTAGTAGTTTACTTTTTGAGCTTTGCCATCAGGGCCTGTTTCCATTCGCAATCTTACTTGGATAAACTTATCATTTTTTAGTACTGATATTCGTGCTCGAAGCTGCTTTCTCTCAAGTTTAAGTAATTCACAAATGTCATCTTCTTTCATACATGGATTTCTTACTAAAATATCAACAATTAGTGCATCTTCAATTGTGTAGAATCCTCTGACTACTAATCTTGCTAGTTGCTTAAGACTACTAGGGATTTCTGTAACCAATATTTCTTCTGTCATAGTTTTAGTAATGTTCTTCAATTAAAACTAATAATCATTAAAATTACATACAATATATTTTAATTATATTTATTATTATTTGGATTGAAATTTTAATTTATTATTAGGTTAGGTTTCATTGCTGTCAATTGTCTCTGAGCATGTTTATGTGCTCATAGAAGTTTATTCACTTTTATTCGCTGTTTTATTGATGAAAATTAAATTAAATTATTAAAAGTGTTTCAATGTTTTAAACTCAATTGCAAATTAAGAATTATAAATTGTATTTTACTTTTCGTAATTCAGTTTGAAAACGTAGTTAAATGAAAATTTTTACTATTTGTTTATATTTGTCTACAAGCTATGTATGGTTTGTACCACAGATAATGTGTGTACAGTTGTCTACAATGTCTACAAATTGTCTATGATCTATATGTACAAGACTACAACAAGGTCTACAAATGGTGTACCATGTACCATCGACGGTTACTAATGGACATGCCTTAGCGGTCAGAATTGTGGTACAATAAAAGAAAGAGATGGAATGAAGTTTCGGACAATATCTATCTCTCTCACGATAGTGCGTGAGCGTGTCATGAAAGAGATAGCACTAGTCCGAAACCATACGCCATCTCCCTCACTTTTCGAGCCAAGAAATTATTACAACGACACGGCTAAGGCATGTCCATTATTATATGTCTATGCCATGTACAACCTTATCTATGGTTAAGGTCATGTTGAGATGCCATGTTTGATGAAAAGTACATCAAAAAGCACAAAGACGGCAATAGTCACGGTTAAATTGTGAACAATTTATTTATTGAAAACGATTTTGTTAGTATGGTTTCGTTAAATTGTTAGGGAAGTTTTTAATTAAGAGGTTTTTAAAATGAAAGTAATTTGCTTTTGTGTTTTAACGGCGAGACGGTTTGTTTAAATGCGTATGGTTTCATGTGTGTTTCGTGCTTCCAACGGTAGAAGATGATTAAACTGCTGTTTTGATAAAGATGTGATTCTTGTTCGCGTTTTATTCGGTGTTAATTTGATAGAGTACGAATTACAAATCTATAAAAATGGATTTTGCTGCACCACCACCAAATATGTCGGTTCCTCCACCGGGACTAAATATGCTCGGAAATCCGATGGGACCTGCTATGGGAATCTATGCAAACAAATTTGATCCTCGAGCTGCATTCAATAACCGTCCTCCATTTAGACCGTTCTTGAATTTACAGCGGTTACCTGGCCCCTTAGGAAATATGACTTTGGAAGACTTTGATGGAAAGAGGTTACGAAAATCTGTTATGAGAAAAACGGTTGATTATAATTCTGCAATAATTAAAGCATTAGAAGTAAGTTATTAAATTGTAAACAGAAATCATTCATTAACCTTGGTTGGTTTACTTGTTTACATTTATGTATTTTATTCATTAGAATCGTATATGGACTAGAGACTACAGGGATCGCCGGGCACTTCAACCTGATGTAATGTACTATCCTGACATGATGCCTCCACCTAGTTATTATGATAATCCCATTAATTGTGTTACCACACGATTTGTAAAAACAGCAACAAACAAAATGCGTTGTCCAATTTTTTGTATGGCATGGACCCCTGAAGGTCGAAGATTAGTTACTGGGGCTAGTTCAGGAGAATTCACTTTGTGGAATGGACTTACATTCAATTTTGAAACAATTTTGCAAGTTAGTACTTTTATAATTTTTAGAAGTATTTTGATAATATTCTTATATTCAGTAATAAGTGTGATCATAATTGTTTTCATATTAAAATATTTTGGTGTATTTCAAATACTTTCTATTTTCTAAAGTTAGTAATTTTTTTGTTCTCACTTATTATTGAGTTCAGAATATCGAATAAGGTATTATTACATGCTTTTGTGTTAAACCATTCAAGTAAATGTTTGTTGTGTTTGCTAAAAATTAAAATTCCTGTAATGGTTTTATGAATTTATCAAATAATTTTAGTGTTTATTTATTTATTTATATGAAAAGAAATACAACAGGCTAAAAAGCCCAGGAAAATATACAAAATAAATGAATAATGGTTGACATAGTAATCTTATCCAATAGGAAGTTTTGTTACAATTAAGTTCATTATTTATATTCTAGTAAATAACTTAGAGAGGACTTGATTGCACCAATATTGAGATCTAACATTTCGGTTGTCAAATAACGATTTGCTAGTCTAGTCAGTCTTGGTATCATAGAATCATACAAAAATTTACTGTTACTTTAAATTCTATTTAATTGTAATAGATTCAAAATTATGGTTAAACATTTTGAAAACAGTATATAATACATATAAATTACTAAGAAGAATTGGAATGCTTAGGAGTCTATGTACCTAGTTTTAAAAAATACAACTGCACATCATCGTTCATAATGGCAGTTCTTAAGAATGTTATTTTGTCATTTTTTAGGGCTCTATTTCAAAAAGATAAAAAGGAATCCCTATAATGAGATTTCCGTTTGTCACAATGTTTTATCTTAGTAACTACTATGCAATTGACTTGAAATTTAACAAACCCATATTGTTTGCATGTATTTTTTAAAATAGTTTACTTTTCATTCCAAAAAAGTTTTCAAGAAAGTGTAAAATTTGAAAGTAAGATTCTAGAATCGAGATGGAAAGGGGAATATCATATGAAATTACTCTGCCTATGCTTTTCTAGGCATTATTTTTTTTTATTTTTAAGTCGTATAGTTTTTTATGTCTAAAAACTATTACTCCTACCCTTTGTCTTCGAGAAAATAAAGGTATTTGATATGGTACTCTTGGTATTTTAGTTAAACTCGTGGTATTCACTTTTTATCTTTTTAGTTATTTCAAATATGTGTTTATATATAACTTGGTATCTGGTTAGTCGCAATTTGTTCAAATTATATATTCTACAACAACTTAAGATTTTATATCTTATACTTAAAAAAAAGAAAACAAAACATCTAAGTTAACTATAGGTTTAATAAAATGACCTTTTTTCTATCTAAAGTGGAGAAGAGAGACTAGTATAAAAGCCTAAATTAAAATGGAGTGAGTTGGAAACTATAGAAAGAAGAAGATGGCGCTAGCATGAAAAAAGTGTGATTATCACTATGGAGTCAAGAGTAAAAGCATTGTGGAATGGGCAAATGGTAGCAATGGTGTGAGGTCTTAGGACCTTAGATAGAATAGGATAGAGTATGTTGGCTCATCGGAAATGCGCTTCTTAAAAGAAAGAAACAAAAAATAAAGGGACCTATCTCTAGTTGTTTTTGTTTCTTGCACTCTTGATAGTCAGCTGTGCCGGCCAATCAGACGCTCCATTAAATAAAATCAGTCGGAAGAGGGGGGTGTCACTGTTTTTTATTATTCACGTTTCTATGCTAAGGATTTATTCCTACTTATCAGGAAAACATAACGCATACCTTTTGAAATTTGGGGGCGTGGTCACGATTGATTTTTTAAAGGAACAACTATCAGCTTGCTAACAAAAGCTCTGACTTGCTAGTTCAAAGTGAAAAATCCAGAATTGGATTTCTAGTCTCTCTCTTCTCTGATTAAAACTATGAAAACGACTTTTCCCGAAAGTGGGATTTTATTAAATCAAATTCTTAGCTTGAAAAAAGGCTTATGCAAAAACCCTGTACATTTATATGTACTTAGGAAAACTTATAATATTATAGGTGAATAGATGGAAATTTTGTTTTATGATCGCAATAGATATGTTTTTGTATTACATTTGAATTATCTGATTTTTTAATTAAAATAAAACGTGAATTTAGTTTAATGTCAATTTTTTTCTCATAGGCTCATGACAGTCCTGTTCGATGTATGGTGTGGTCGCACAATGACAGCTGGATGGTGACGGGAGATCATGCAGGCTACGTTAAATACTGGCAGTCGAATATGAACAACGTGAAAATGTTCCAAGCACATAAAGAAGCCCTGCGTGGCATAAGGTATCTACTACATCTTCTCTTCGTACTATGCAAACTTGTACATTATTTGGTAACCACTCTAATAAATGAATCCCTCCTGTTCCTCCTTTGTCTGTTAAGAGCAAATAAAGTGAAATCAAAAATATAAAAAAGTAAAAACTGAGTTACCTAAAAGTTTTCATTTTCATATTTTTTTCGAAAAAGCCCAATGGTGTATTTTAATTAATAAAAAGTACAAAACATGCTTTCATATTAGATAATGATGATAATAAAGACAAAACTGATTTCTGTGATAAATATAATTTGCTGTGATATTTGGAATTCCTTGTAAGCGCATTTTGTACAATTTTACGCTCAATAAATTCGTTTAATTTAAATAACGGGATGTTTCCCCGGTTACTTTTCAGGGTGTGAGTAGCATATTTCGTAAAAATCTAAAAAAAATCTAACTATCAGGACCTGAAAAGATATCAGGGAAACGTTTTTATTTCAATTTCCAGACCCGGTGCTTAAAGTTAATAAAGATTTTTATGAGACATTTTGTTTTATTTCGACGATATATAGCAGCAAACAGGAAATGATGATTAGTTAACACGTCAACATAATTAAAAAAGAAATATTTCGTGTTTTCGTTTACATTTTTACAGTTACAAATAAGGTCAATTTTGCATGTTTTTTTTAATGTAGTATTAAAGACGTAATGAATAGTTTTTTCTTGGTAAGTATGTTGTATATATCCTCAGTATTTTTTGTACGTTTTACATTGGAGGGATAGTTAATAATATTTCCTGCCTTTTTCCTTTTAGGTAGTTTAAAAGCAATATATATATATTTTTTTCTTTTTATCTAGTCGTCATTTAATGTGTTGGGACACATAACAGTAACATTAAAAAAAAAATTAATACTTTGCCGTGAATGGTAATATTTTTAAAAAAATGTTTTGCAACTTTTACAAAAAAACTAGAAAAGCGTGTGTTGTATCCAAAATTGATTTACTTCTTTTTAAAGTGAGTTTCTTAGTTTTTTGTAAAGTGGTGAGCCAACTTTAAATAATGATATCATCAAACAACAATTATTGGAAATACTGTGAACAATGTATATACTTATACATATGTAAAAATATCAAATACTTAAAAAAAGACTGCGTTTAAATCAAGTGAAATATTTTTTTTCTCATTTCAACTTTTTTGATTACTTATTTTATTAACTTGTGTCAGTGCATATCATACCTTAGTGAAACTTAAATATATTATTCATTATTGTATCGTGTATGAGTAACAATAAAACATTTGTGTAAAAGTATATATTTTTTATTTTAATTTATGAATTTCAATATGATATCGTATCTGTGTTTTTGTTAGCTTCAGCCCTATGGATAGTAAATTTGTGACCTGTTCGGATGACGGCACTCTTCGAATTTGGGATTTCTTTCGATATCAGGAGGAAAGAGTTCTTAGAGGTAATGTAACTCTATAATAATAATAAATGCAAAAAAATACATAATAAAGTTTAGTTTAATAAACTAAAAGTATTTTAGGTCACGGAGCTGACGTTAAATGTGTTCATTGGCATCCCCAGAAAGGACTTATCATTTCCGGAAGTAAGGACAATCAACAACCTATAAAACTGTGGGACCCGAAAACGGGTCAGTCTTTGGCTACATTGTAAGTATTTATTCGGTTATATATTTTAAATATGATTCTACATTTAATTATTTTTTTAGACATGCGCACAAGTCGACCGTTATGGATTTGAAATGGAATGAAAACGGAAATTGGCTTATAACAGCTTCTCGAGATCATCTTTTGAAATTATTTGATTTGCGAAATTTAGGGCAGGAAGTTCAGACGTTTAGGGGTCATAAAAAAGAAGCCTCTAGCGTTGCGTGGCATCCGGTTCATGAAGGGCTATTTAGTAGCGGCGGATCCGATGGGGCCATTATGTTTTGGCACGTTGGGTACGACTTTTTTTTCAGAACATTTTAGAATTCAACTTTGCTTTTAAAAAGATAATATATGTATTGGCTTTATTATTTTTTAAAATAATGATAATTTAATAATTTACTGCATTTAGAGCTGATAAAGAGGTAGGAGCCATTGAACAAGCTCATGACAGTATAGTATGGACGTTGGCATGGCACCCGTTGGGTCATATTCTTTGCTCCGGATCAAACGATCATACTAGTAAATTTTGGACTAGAAATAGACCAGGTGATCTGATGAGAGATAAATATAATCTCAATACTTTACCTGCGGGTATTGCTGGACTTGAAGATGTTGGTGACTTGGGGAAAGAAATAGCGGCAGGTAATAATTGAATTACAAATATCTTCTAATTAATTACACCAATGTTTCGAGATTACAAAAAAAAAATAAATATTTTAGATGAACCTTCTGTCATACCTGGCATGGGCCCCGACGACAAAGTAGAGTTTACATTTTCTTCCGATGATAACGCAACTATACCAGGTCTAGATTTGGATCTTCTCGGTGGTTCGATTGATGACAAGGCCAAAACTAAAAAAGTGCCTTACAGCAAGCCAATTCCACGTAATTTTCAAGCTCAATGGAATGAAACTATTGGTATAATTATTCTTTTAAACAATAAGTTTGTGTTATTAATTTACTTTGTTTTTTTAATTAGATGATACCTCGGGTACATTGAATGAAGTTTTAAGTCAAATTGTAGAAAACACGCCTGGTGTCGTACCTTTGCAAAAAATTAATCCTAGTGCTATTATTGTTGCTGGAAAACTTATTCCTGTAGAACGTAAGTACAATTCTTTATTGAAAGTATATATGCTGTTATAATTTTTTTGTATTCTTAGCGGGATCGAAGCTTGAGTCTGCAATTGCAGAAGGTCCGGACGCTCTTAATAAATTTTTACGATCCGGAGAAGTACCAGAACTCTCGGACGTAATGCTTGGCGAAGATAGCGATTATCTAGACACAACGTACGTTGACGAAGATAGCGATTCACATAATCAAAGTTCAGGACCTCGACCACTCATGGAAACACCAATAACTCCCTCCAAATTTAAAAACCAAGATTTTCTTAGCAACCGTTTCGGGGGTGGTGATGGTGAATCGTCGAGACACTCTGACCAAGACATGCGTTCTCATCCCTTCAGCTTCTTACGAGATAGTGACATGCGCGGAAATTCCGGAGACATTGACTTGCGGAACAATCCAAACGGCGGAAATTCTGATTTTCGAAACAGTCGGGACTTCGATATGCGCAGTGGACCTAGCGCAGACGCAGATATGGATGAAGATTATAATAGACCTTACGGTCAGCATCAGGATTTCCGGAATAACCGTTACAATGAGAACGAAGAAGCAGAAGAAGAATATTACGAGGAAGAAGAAGATGGTTATGAAGAAGAAGAGTACGAGGCACCTCCTAATCAAAACTGGCCCCCATTCAATGGACCACGAAACAATAGAGGTGCTTTTCAAAACTTCCGGCCAGGGCTTCCGCTTCCACCACCAAACGACTTTGGCGGGTTAGGACAATTCAATCCAGGTAATAATTGGAACGGTTCGACGGGACCAGGAAAAGATGGGTTCAGAGGTGGACGAGGTATAGGTGTGTTTAGAAGAAATAACCTCCTAGGACCCCCTCCTCCACTCGACGGCTTCGGTGGAGTACCGCGACCACCTTTAAGAGGATTAATGAGAGGACGTGTGGGAAGAGGAATCGTTCCTCATCCTTTACTTCGACGTGGAAATATGGACGGTGGTCCTAAACGTGGTATGGATGCAATGAGACGGATAATGGGTATCAGAGGTCGCGGTGTACCAAGGGGTAGAAATAACCAATATTGAGTTTGGTGGAAAAGTTCGAACAATGCCTTATTTGAATGTTACATTAAAGTGTACTGCTGGTGATTACTAAAAAGAAAACATTTCTGGATTTGGATAATCACTGGAAACGTGCGTATGTGCCGATTGGTCAATATATAATTATTTGCATGTGTCATAGATCTTGTTTATTTAAAGGCATTAATAGTTCTTGGGACGTTTTCGCGAATGTGTAACTTGCAGTTTTTGCTGCTCGAAATATGTTTTTATTCATTTTGAATCGTGCACACGAATTTATTGTGAAATATGTGATATATGTGTACATTTTGCGCGATTTACCACTGAAGAAAATAAAACGATATTGTAATTTTCTCCGAAACATCCATTTTAACCATAACGTAAACCGAAAAATCTGCTGGTAAGTACTTATCTGTTTTTAAACATTATTTTTTATATACTCTTGCCATAACTGTGCAGGGCCCCATATAAATAGTTTTCTGCATTTATAATGAAAATTTATTTTTATTTGCAAAACATCAACCATACTTCATTTTAATAAATAAAATTACAAAGGAGGCAAATATTGTCAAGTAACAACACAATATAAAAAAATAGTACTACTTCGTTGAAATAAGAAATATATTACACGTTAAAATATTTTGTAACTCCTAATAATACAATTACATACTTATCCTATGTAAAATCATATACAGCAATATTTTACATTTAATCTTGTGCATATTGGTAATAAAAAGATCGTTTGTCAGCTAAATGAGGAACGGAAAAAATACAGGGACTTCTTTCCTATGAAAAAAAAATTCTTACAAAACAATAAATAACATTTATATTAATTTATCGAACATTATTCGCTTCTCGTATTTTATCTAAAAATTAGGACTTTTCTCGCTTTTTGAAATTTCTTTTGCTGGCACAACGGTTAATAATGTCAGTTACGTGAACTTTGTGGTCGAAAATTTTCATTATCTGACTTTTAGCTTCCACCATTCCATCGTTGATTATTTTAATGCGTTGAAGATTACCCTTTAAAAATAAAAATTGTTAAAATTAATCTCAAAAATGCCTAATTGTCCTTTACCTTTATGAGTTCGTTAATATGATTTATTTCTCTTTCGTTGCTGTTTTTTTCTTCTGCTTCGGTAAATTTTAGCAATCTTGTAAGCTGATCATACACAGCTTGTTCTTCATCCGCCTAAATTACCAAAAATAAGTTACTACAAAACCATCGAAAGTAAAATATATATTATATATTGTCATACCAGATCTTCCATTTGGGTTGACAGGTGATGTATTTTCCACCCATTAACTTTGTCGAGTACACGGCACTGATTTGCCAAATCCATGATCGTCGGTCGACGTTCGTCTTTTGGCCTCACATCTGAATAACGCAAATAATGATTATGCGTCGCCTTCCACGTTTGACGATAGCTGTTCAAAAGACTTGGTGTAGCCGGTTTCCTGACAACACGTGTCTCGGAAGGCATTTCCTCTTTACCGTCCGATCGATTTTCATCAGAATCTGCGTCTTTCTTCGTGACCGCACCATCCGTTATAAACTGCATATCGTCGTTCATGTTCTCATCGAGATCGTTACTGCCAGTACCGCTGAAAAAATGAAAAACGTAGGATTTCTAACCTTTTTGCAACTCCCCCTCCACTATATGCTTAAACTATTACATTGTACTTACAACTGCTGCTTCCTCGGTTTCTTTCTAGGGCTCATTTCAGTTGGTGGTCGATTACTTTCTTCTTCGTCTTTATTAGATGACGGCACATGAGGCATGCTATCTTCGTTAGTTTCGGCCATACCGGGACTGGAAGTTGCAGAAACAGTTGTGCTTCCCCCTACGATTAAAAACATACGGATATTATTATCTAATATTCAACCTAAGTTAGAGTATATATTATATGATAATAATAAATTTACCTGAACTATTTCCATTTCCGCCGGAATCAGGTCGCGAAGGCGGCGAAATGGGTGGCGGAGCAACATTTTGTTGCGGTATTATCGCTGAAACAAGGGACGAATTGAGGTTCTTAGCTGCCTTCAGTGGCGAACCTTCGTGATCGCGTTTGCGCAGGATGCTAGGTCTTGGCGAAGAAGTGACCTTTTGCGTCTGAGTTGGTATAATCTGTGCAGACGGGCCACCAGACACCTGTGATTGCTCATGACCTGTGTCTTGGTGATGTGATTGTTGCGATTGGGAATACTGAGGCACTCGATTTTGCTCCAGCACCATGACCGGATTAAATCTCATTTGCTGATTTGTCACAATACCTACAAAAAAAATATTCGTGACATTTATCATAATTACACTATTTCTTTTTTTCCAAAGAGTAGGGTTTTAAAAAGTTTGTATTGAATAGGATGAATAGGAAAATCGATGTTTTGTTCTTATAGTATTTACGACTGTAAATAAACGACTAGTACGAATGATCTACACATTTTACACTACATTTTTTTCAATTTTTGAAAGCTATAATAAGAGAAGCCAAGGCTAAAAAGGGAGAGAACTTCCATCCTTGTAATTTAAACAACTTGTTTAGTCCTATAAATATAATGATATAAAGAAGTTTGAAGGATTTTACCATGTACTTGAGGTGCGATGGCGGGTTTTATTTGCTGATTGGTTGATTGAGGCACCGTGGCAAAGGACGACTGATTGAACGAATGGGCTACTGAGTAAGTTCCGGTTGCGTCGTAGAAATATGTGCCGCTAGCTATTGAATAGGTTGCAACGCCAGTCGTAACCACCGTGGTCGCTGCGGCAACACTTGTTGGGCCTAAAAATTCAAAATGTTAGTACAATTTTGATAAAAATTAACTCGTACTTACTATTTTGATTTAAATTCCACAACTTATTTTAAAAAATGGAATTCAATCGTTTTAGATATCATAAATAATAATTCGAAAGGAAGAATTATTTTAAATCATAGTAAATTAAAAGCAATCCGACCCATGCAGTGACTTTATTATATTGTAAATAACTACGATATCATTAAAATTACCTGGTGATGAACGTCTAGAGACAGCAGCAACAGGCGGGGCGTGTATGAAGACACCGGCACTGGGGGTGACTACTGGCTGATTTTCAGCTTGCGGAGAAAACACCTTTGCAATAGGTATGGCTTGTGACGATACCGACGGTACTGTTCGTTGGGTGACAATCGGTTGAACGTTTACTGTAAGAAAAATACGAAGAAACAAATATTACTTCCCTATTTTTGCGATAACTAAACCGCTATCAAGTTAAATTGATAAAAACTTAATATACTGTATAAAAACATTAGCAAACCGTATTAATAAAATATCAGGTGTTTGTTTTAAATTACTAGTGACTCAAAATAAAGGTAACCTTTAAATATTTCGAAATTTAATCCTTTAACATTCAACAATTAACACAAAATTGTGTATAGTTAATAAATATTGCTGACTGACAATAGATAACAGGTAACTTTACATGAATTTTTTATATTATAATAAGTAAGTCAAAAAAATAACNGTTGTAAAGTTTTTAGTGGACGTTAAAATAACACAACACAGAATTTTATAATTTTAAAGGAACTGTCAACTCGAGAAAGTCAGAACTTATAGTTATGAATTATTATTTAGTCATACTTACATTACCCCACACACAAGCAAATTAAAAGGAATATTTTTATCAAATCTAATTTTTTTTGACATAAAAGTAAGCGTTATTTTTTACCATAGCCCACTTAATATATTTTTTTTAATTACGGTACATTCATGGGTATTGGGTACATGTAAAATCTTTTTTAATAGTAATTACTTTCACTTACTTGTTCTGGATGCTGTAGTGACTATTGTTTGTGTGGGTTTTATAGTGGCAGGCATCTGCGTCAAATGAATGGCAGTTCCTTTAAAGACAGAAACTTATCACAATATACACATACACAAAAAGGAGACACATTGAATTAATAGAAAAGCATTTTACAAATTACACATATCTAAAGTATTCTGAAAATAAGACTGTAAGTGTAAAAATAGGCGTTCTAATGTTTTGTGCTTTGCATGGGAAAATTAAAGATAAACTTGAAACAGCAAATGAAGTGCTTTAAAGCAGCACCATTCACAATTCAAAATATATTAAAAATACTACTTTTTAATCCTAAAATAAATGTTAGGTACTTACATTAACGAAAGAAAAAAATAGAAGAAACAAAAAATATTACTTAATAGTGTAAGTAGTCGCCAATAAAGTATAACATCAGTAACGACCAAAACAATAATTTCACAGCATAAGCTGCATAGCAATGCGACGTGTTGTTCAAGGTTACCAGTTCGAACGGTTAACAGGCGTATCTTCTTTCTCTTTCTATCTCTTCAGGCGCCAATTATAGGCAGTAATGATTAAATAGCGCGCTCGCCCTTTACAATATTAAACATATATTTTCTTGCTTTTGAGGAAAAACTGATTTTAAACAAAAAAACAATACTAATAAACGCAAATTTAGAGAATTAATAAAACAAGACTATTATATAAAAATAAAAAAAATAGCGGTCATTTAAATATTACATGCGCAACTCTTCGGCACGTCCTTAATAAGGTACATATTTGAAATATAAAATAAATTCAGACCTTGCGCTGTCTGTGTGATGACTTTAGCGCCCTGCGTTTGAATAGTACGTGGTTGAGAGGTGTTCGCCACAACGAGGGGATGAAGGGATAACGTAGAAATTCGACTTTGCCCGATCACATTGCTCGCCGATGAGCTTTGGGTGGGCGTTACGGCCACTCTACCAATCGCAACGGCAGGTTGTGTGGTCGAAACGATCCTCGCAGGCGCAGTCGACCCTAAAAGGGTCGCCTGTTGCGTAGAAGTGGTCGTTGTCAGTCGTGTTCCTGTAGTTAAAACGGTACCCTGAGGTGTTACTAGTCGTGTTGCGGCCGTCACGTTAACAGGCATCGTCAAGCGAGTAGTTGTCACTTGATTCTAATAAAAGTATATTTGTTGATTTAAAAAAATAATAAATATGTAAAAGTAACTTATTAAATAAAAAGCAACTCATCTCTAATTACCACAATCACATTTTTACCAAAGGGTACATGCTTCGCCCATTTCTGTGCATTATCAATTCAAGCCTGACAATAACGGATCTTTTAATTTCCTTACACTACAGTCTCCTATTTTTTATTTTGTCGCAAGTAATCTATTGTATAATGAAAAACAGAAATAAGAAACTGAGACAAATAAATAAAAAACAAAAAATGTAGGGTCATTTTCAACGCGAAATTGTTTTTTTTTTGATATTAAGAACTTACAATAATTACCCTCTAATATCAAACGAAGAGGGGGGAGCTAAAATTTGCAATGCATACATACTTTAGTTTCGAAAAATTTGATTGCCATGGAATTTCTATATATACTTGTTATTGTTTTTGTAATCATTTTTTGAGCATCTATATTCTGCTTCTCTATAATATTAAATAGTTCTTTATGTAATTCAATGTTATTTAAAAGGAACATTACTAATCTATGGATAAGAAAAATTACAGCAACTATTCCAAAATCAATTGCATTCTTACCTTTTCATTTTGTTCTAAGCTGTAATCTAGCAGTGGAGTAATTATTATATGAATACTGGACGAAATAAGTTCGCGTTGTAATTTAACCGTATTGTGATAGTAAGAGATGAAGTTTTTATAAGTACCATGTATTTGATGAGATTAAAATAAAATAATTACCATAGTCTTAGGTGTTGTAGATTGCCGATTTTGTATGTTAGTGCTAACTGCAATTCGAGGAGGAGCTGCCAAATGAGCAGTGTTCCCTCCAGTACTGTAAACTAATGTTTGTGTTCTAGCTGGCAACACCTGGGCCAAAGTTACTGTGTTGTTAGTAAGAGCCTGTATTCCCGTATTACTTTGACCAGACTTGAAAGGATGAATCTAACAAAAGAAGTTTTTGTAAGTGATAATTATTATATACACAAAAATGTACAAACAATAGGACTAATTATTAATCAAATTATCTATACAACTTTCTGAAAATTATTTTAAGGAGCTATTTGTCTTCCTGTATTTCATTAATTACTGATTTCATGGGATGAATGTAACAATAAAATAAACAGTGATCAAATATTAATTATCAAATAAATGCTGGATTTTCAGAAAATCATTTCAAGGAAAGATATTTGTTACTCTTATAGCAAATTTTCTCATTAAAAATCAAGAGAATGTAAGAAATTGTTAGAAAAGTACCTGTCCTCCTTGTCCTATTGTGATCGCTGAATGTAAAATAGTAGCTGTAGGTCGAACACTTGACACAGTTTGGGTAACAGCTTGAGTCCTGGCTACAATCTGAGGCTTACCTATTGCACTTACACCTGATACAGATGCACCTCTTACTGGAGAACTTAAAACAGTTGGAGCACCTTTAATTTGAGATCCATTTGAGGAGTTTGTAGTCAGCCATGCTGTACCTTGAGCAGGACTTGGTGTTCTTGGTGGCCTTACATATGCTTGGGCAGATTGACCGACTGTCTGTGTGTTTACAATCATAGGATTCCGAATAGCAGCTGCTACGTTGCTTCTGGGTGCTGCTAAGTTAGCAACAACTGCAGGACCTCGAGGTACATGATATGTACCAGTGGGACTTTGGGCTACAACTGGAAGACTTGCTGTAAGAGTTATTTGTGTGGGACGTTGTATAACATTGGAAGATACAGATTGCTGGGGTTGTGAAGTATTTGCCAGGTTAGTCCCTTGAGAACGATTTATTTCACCTGAAAGTGATGGAAATGACACCAATTTTTTATTAAGCAAGTTAACAGTTAAAACTAACCTTGTTTTAGAACAGCTTGAGATAAAATGTTGGTAGTTAGTATATTCCCTGTATTAAGGGATGTTTGTACTGCACTGGAGGGTGTTAAAACTCTCATATTTCGTAAAGCTTGTCCTGTCATTATTAATGGAGTTTTACAATCAACAGATTTTACTGTTGTAATTTTAGCAGCAAGATCCAAAGGAAATGTTTTCCCTGGTTCCGTTTTATCTTCGTCACCGTTTCCACTCATTTTTTATTTTCTCTTTAAAGCATCTGTTACAAACTAAGTACTAACTAAGTAACCACTTCTTAGAAGTAAAGCGTCTTCGAATTTTCAATAGAAAGTATTTACCTGCAAGGTATAAAGTCAGATTTTTCATTAAATGCTACTAAAACTACTGTTATCTGAACACTTTTAACTTTTTTATACAAATGCATATTGCCATTTTTACAATTAACTTCAAAAGCTTCAAAATTTCAAGAAGTCGCTTATAATCTACGAATTGCTACGAATGATGAATGCAGCTACGACCGCATCGAACTACGCAGCTACGAAATGCTACGAAAATACAGAACCGTATTCAAGATACATTCGATTTTTAATGAGAAAAAAAAATTAATTTTTATTTATTTGACATATTGATGGTTTGCGACATATAAAAATTTTAGTCTTTAGTAATGATAATTTACTGGTTCTTTCTGTTTATTATTTTATTAGCATTAACTGCTATGTTAGACTATATTATAAGTTACCTTTTTATCATGTTTTAAACGGAAATGTTTCCCAGGACATGGATGAAAATATACTGACATCAAAGACCAAATACACCAAACCCACCAAAACCAGAAGAAGAAAAATAAGACGAAAGGATACAAATATTTTCTAAATATACCCTTCCTTGCTATATATTTTGTAAAGCGTTGTGAAATATCAATTGTGTTATAATTAAATAACATTAATGTTTTCGGGTTGTATGAAAAATTTTCGTTGATAGTGCGTTGCAAATCGACAAAATGGCCAAAACCGGACCAGCACCAATTGATACTCAGGTAAATACACAAAATCCAAATGTATTTTTTGAACTATAAAAGTGAACTTTTAGGAATTTCAGTTTAAATTACACAGTCGCTTTAAAGTGTATGATTATAAGGATGGAGGATCTTTTACCACCGCATGCAATTTAGTTGCAGCAGCAAGTCGATATGGGTTAATATTTTTTGGTTCAAATGATGCCTATTTTGAAGGTTTAGAAATTGTGACATTTATTTCGTGGCGTACTTCTATAATTTTAATTTTAGTAATTCAGCTGAAGACTATTGAAGGTGCTAGTTTGAAAGATGGTGAAAATAAAAATTATGAGCGAAGAACAGTTTTTTTACCTTCACATCCACACTTTCTGTCTGTTAATTGTGATAACACAAAACTTGCTGTTGTAGTTAAAAAGGATGATTGTCCAGTTTGTTTGTTCTATGATGTTTGTTCATTTGTAAAAAATGTAAGAATAATGAAAACTTTAAATGAAGATTTATATTAATTATGTTAGCTTTTTTAGGATATTTTAGTTGTGAACGAAGTAAGATTGTCAGCCAGTCCCAATGTTAGTATCACTGATGTCTCCTGGAATCCAGCAATACCAGGAATATTTTCTGCATGCAAAAATGATGGAACATTGGGTTAGTAAAACTTAACTTTAACACTAATGTTATATTAATTAATAAGACTTTGTGGGTTTGTAGTCAAACATGTGTTGTATTGTTGATTTTTCCAGTTGCACAATTTAAAAAGAGTGCATTAAACTTACTATCATTAAAAAGTCTAACCAATAATGCTTCATTATGCTTTAACATTAATTAAAGTTGAAATGATGAATATTGTAAAAAAAATGAAAAGCTGATAACTGATGTTGCAAACAGGTGTTTATGAATTCAAGGAGACTGGAATTGAAATAAAAGAGTTACCCAGTGATGCACATGCCACTTGTATGTGTTGGAGTCCTAAAGGAAAACAGATTGCAATAGGAGATCAAATGGGAAAAATAACACAATATAAACCAGACCTGAAGGCAGCCAGGATAATTGAAGCTCCTAATTTAAACTGTGTTCATACAGTAGTTAGCCTTCAGTGGATATCTAATTTTCAGTTCATGGCCATGTATAAGCCTGTAGAACCTGATTCCCAGTCATTGTTAATGGTAGTGGATGCACCTAAAGCTGAACCAATTTCTTACACAAATTATGAAGATATTTGTTATAGTAATGGGACAACAAGACCTTCACAGTTTTATATGATACATATTTCTCAATGGTATGATGTAAGAATTGTATTAAAGGGACATGACCAGATAGGTATGGTGAGTTTACTCCATGGCTAAGCCAGCCAAGTGTATACTTTCATAGCTTTTGGCTTACTATATTTACAATTTTTTCCTTAAAACTTAAGAAACATTTTAAGAGTTAAAATAGACTAAATATGACCTTTCTTTATGTTTACTATCCTTTTATTGGTATATTTGAAAGCACCCGATTTTTATTAATTATATCGTAAAAGATTGTTATGTTTTGAATTTATTACCAGTAAATTCATTATATAGTTATTTTTATAGAAGATAGTTATTTTCATTATAGAAATAACTATATAATGACGATTGGATGTTTTTTGAAGATTTCCCCTCTTCCTTCTATAGGCAATACTTAATGTACAGTAAATAAAAATAAACTTATTTCTTTTTTTTTTTTATATCCTAACATTTGAAAACGATTTTACATTATGTGTTAATATTGGGTGAATTGTTGATTGTAAAAGGAGTAATTTACAGGAAAGGTACAGTTGAGTAAATTCACTATACTTACCTGGCAAAAAAAATTATGATACTATTACTATTGTTTTAATTTGATTTAAAATATTGACAAGTGTAGGATGTAAGTTCAGTTTTTAAAAAATTATACTAAATCAGTTATCTATGTAAAAGAAGGTAAATATTATTATTTTTTCTATTTTAGGAATGTTGTAATGGTTTCATCATCAAATAGTATGGAAATAGGTGTGATGGGTTTTGAAAAGAATCATTGGATTCAATGGCTTTTGGACGATTCTAGTCGAGCAGAGCTACCTTTAAGCAGTAACCGCCAAGATACTCTTCCAGTAGGCATGGTTTTAGATACAGGGTCTACCGAACCTGTAATATTTGGAGAAAACACATTACCTCCAGCGCCTTATTTGTTTCTTATGTCACATCACGGACTAGTGGTATGCTTTAAAGTGTTGAACCTGAAAACAGGGGCACCTACTCTCTGTTCTCCACCTGACAATTTACCCGATTTATCTGGACTTCATCATTTTAAACAAACGTCTACTACTGTGCCTACTTCTATAATTCAAACAAAACCAAAAAAGGAGGTGAGATAATATTAATGTTTTTTAGCGCAATTTATGGACTTAATTAATTTATGTTTATGTGTAGATCGCTCCAGGTATTACTACGGTAATACAAACTCCATTTAGTTTCACTCCCAGTGTTACGTCTGGTATTCCGGCTAGTTCTGTTATTACAACACCTTTCATATTTTCCCCACAAAATCAAATTACAGTTAAAGATCATACAGAAACTGCACGTACAGCTTTTGAAAAACCTGTTCTACCTACTTTTACAGAAAATACTGTAACCATTAAAAAAGTAGAGCCTCTAGTTCAGCAATCATTATTTAATATTCAAAAACCACAAGGACCTTTTACTCCACCACTGACAGGTGCAGAAAGTGTTTTAAAATCTCAGAATAGCTTAAGTATTGGTCAAACTTCAGGACTTTTTGGAAATTCTACTTTTGTACCAGCTCCTAAATTTCAAGAGAGCAGTTCTCAGGTTAAGGATACTGTAACTTCTAAATGTGCAACGCCTCCCACAGCGATTTCTAAAACGACATCGATTTCTAGAAAGTCTGGTGAAATTAAACAAGACAAAGTTCCACCAACTGATAAAATAATAGTAGAAAATGTATACGAATCACAAGAAGATACAGAAGCTCTTGTTGGAAAAATGGTTAGAGAAGAATGCGAATTTTTGGAGGCAGAATTGAAAGTTTTACTTCATAGGGCACGCCAAATAAAAGTCAATCTGGGAACGGAAGACGAAATCGCGCGTATGTTACAACAGACAGATTCGTTGCATGAATTTGTTTCAGAAGTAACAGAGAATACTGCTTCTCAAGCAGCCGAAGTAAGTGTTATTACTTTAAACCTATTAAAGTACTAACAAACTTGAAGCGGTAATAAGAAATTTGACATTTATTTATGTATGAACTAGGTACATCACTTGAAGCAGTTGGTTATTCAAGGCTGGATTTGGTATGAAGAAGCCCAGTCGCGTTTTGCAGCCTCAAAGGACCCTACAATGAACCTTCTTCAGCGTTCACAACCTTTAGACCCGGCTTCAAAAAAGCAATTAGATGACATTCGCCAACTATTATACTATTTAGAAACACAGTTAGTACAGGCTAGTGGAGCTCTAGATGAAAGATGGGAAACATTTCAAGATTCCTGTCGAAAAACGTTGAGACTAAGAATACCTACTTTAGAAAACGTTTTTCAAACTATGGTTAAACAAAATGGAACTCTAATGAAACAGGTAAAATGTTGGTGTTTGTATGTATTTGTAAAATTTAATAAGTTTTTTATTACAGAAATACATATTAAAAGACATCGCTAATAGAATCCATTCCTTTCGTAGTAAAAGTAAAGGCTCTGCTCTTTTGCTCTCTCTGGATAATGTGGAGACATTAAAAAATCAATTAGAAACTTTGCAACTTCAACCCCATAGTTTGCAAGAAATGCAGTACGAAAGAATTGTGAGGAAGCAAGAAAACTTTACCGCCTCCAAAATTGAAAAATTGAAAAATCATCTGAAAAGTCAAAAAGTAGCCCATGTAGCTGTTAATAAGCCACAATTGTCTGGATCATTTATGCAAACCTTAATGGAACGAAGTACAAATGAAAAACAGAAGGCAGAAGTGTGTAGGACTTTGTTTCCTGAAAAGGTGACGACACTTCTAGGTGCTGGAGTTTCTCCCATTCCAGCTGAAAAAGAGGCTCCCGTAAACTACTCTCCAATTCAGTCGACACCTAAAATGGATCCAGCCACGCTCCGGGCCAAAGTCATTCCAACGGCTCAATTAATCTTCTCACCCGTCACAAAATCTACAGATTTGCAGACGTCAACATTTAAATTTTCAACAACGAAACCACCCTCAGAACAAATAATCAGTGGCTTCAAATTAGCTTCAGACAAAGGTTTTTCAACATTCAATACAACCACAACTGTTAATAACATCACTGTCCCAACTACAAATAAGGTGTTTGTTGAGAGTTCTCAAGCCACATCGAAATCTAACAATGTCCCGCCGATAGCTCAAAGTTCGAAAATAATTACGTTTGGAGCTCCATCGTTTTCATCAACAACAACAAGTATTACTAGTTTGGGAAATGTCCCTTTGTTCGTTTCTTCTGCCCCTATGTCTTCTGGAATTTTTATATTACCTAAAACTACTTCAGCAGTTAGCGAAACTAAATCCGGAACAGAGTCGAAGAAAGAGGTTATTCTTCCTTTCACTTCAAAGCCGGCTTCATTGTCTGGTTTCACATTTGGCAGTGCTTTTGCACCCACCACCGACAGCGCAAACGTATTTACTGCAAAAGGTGGATCTCTATTTGGCTCTACAAGTATAACACCCATACAACCTCCAAAAACAACAATTAGTGCTAATGCTGCTTCTGCCACCACTACTACAACTACAGGATTTAATTTCACTATTACGCCTAAATCTTCTTGTGTAATTCCATCGAGTGAAGCAAATAAAACTCCTGTGTCTTTAATTCCATCTAATGCGTCTACTTCGACAGGAATCAGTTTTAATGTCCCTGCTTTTAGTTTACAATCCCCTGCTAGTACAACAAATAAATCTTCTGACACACCCGAAATGTCTAAACCATTTCAAATATCAAGCTCACTAACCAAATCTGAGCCTGTGACCACTTCTAGCGCTTTTACCCAGCCGTTTTCTTTTTCTTCTCCTAATTTGGGTAACGTATTCACTAGCAAGACCACTTCATCAACGGAAACCACGTCGTCTTCCCTAGGATCGGGGCTACTTGAAGTTAATGCGAGTTTGCCTGTTTCTTCAATAGAAGCTCCTGAAACTGCAATTGTGCCAATTAATGAGGTCTCAACATCTACTGTCACGTTAAATATAGGCGAAGAAAAGAAAATACAATCTACAGTGTTTGGTGGGACAGTTACGTCGGTAACTGATTCATTAACAAAAAGCATAGCTGCAGTTGAAAAACCAGAAACAGTTGTGTCTTCTTCCATGCTAAATAATTCCATGATTGTCAGTTCAAGCCAAGACTTCACATCAAAAGCACTTACAGTTACCACTTCGACCCCTTCGTTGCTAACTCCAGCATCATCTGCTCCCCAACCGATAACGTTTGGTGTTATTGAAACATCTTCTCCAATAACAGCATCAACACCATATAAAGCTGTATCATCTGTAATTGAGAGCTCAAAAGATACTGTATCAGCACTTTCACAAACGTCTCAGTCATCTGGATTTGCAACTCAGTCACCAACACCAACTCCAGCTTTTGGTTCGATGCTGGCATTTGATTCTAAACCTCTCTTTGGAACAACTGCTGCTACAACAGCTACTACTCAAACTACATCATCAAATGTGTTTGGAACTACATTTGGAAATGCTCAGGCGCCTTTCGGCGCCTCAGTTACTAGCAGTGGTGGTGGTGGTAGTAACATTTTTGGTGGAGTTCCTGCTACAACCAGTACTAGTTTCACAACGAACGGGTCAATATTTGGAGCACAAACAGCTAATGCCACAAGTCCATTTGCGGTTAGTAGTACAACGCAAAGCATTTTTGGCACACCAGCTTCTGTGCAACCCGTTTTTGGATCGCCTGCCACCACTCAATCTATTTTTGGTTCATCAAACACTCCTACAGGAAACATTTTTGGAACAACAACGAATACACAGAGTGTTTTTGGTACAGCAGCCCCAGTAACAACACAAAATGCTTTTGGAACACCTACATCAAGTATATTTGGAGGATCAAGTGGCTTTGGTAGTGGAACGACCCCTGTTAGTATAACTCCGAGCGTTTTTGGAACTCCATCATCAACCCAAAGTGTGTTCGGGACTTCTGCTCCTGTCGCTTCACAATCGTCCTTTAATTTTGCTTCAGCTGCTGCTAATATACCCAGTACTACTTCGGCATTCGGATTTGCTCAAAAGCCGGTTTTTGAAAGTAATTTTGGAAGTACGAATACTACTGCTAATGCCAATTCGTTTAGTTTTGGAAATGTGAATTTAGGAACAACCACTTCAACTAGTGGCTTTGGTTCGCCAGCTTTTGGACAAACCCAGAATCCATTTGCAGCCAAACCCACTGAACAAAAACCTGTTTTTGGTGGTGGTGGCAGCTTATTTGGAAAACCGGCTGCAACTACGGCCACATCTTCAATTTTTGGCGGGGGAAGCTCGTCTACAGCATTCGGTATTTTTTTTTTAATTTATTAATACTAGAAATCGTGTGGTTCAAATTCGAGCAATGTATTTCACCTAACATAAGAAACAAAAAGTATTAAATAGACCGGGAATCGAACGCAGTTACTTTTATTTAATTCACATCTGTGGCGCAGTGCCTTCTGCATGGTGTTAGCATATAGTTTTATTCTCCTTTTATAATAAACATCGAAAAAACGTACTAGAAGTTTTGACGTTCACGTATTCATATAACGATTAATAATTTTTTAATTCATTGTATACAATATTTTTTTAATAAATATTGATAATGCTTTTTTATTATTTTTAGGCTCATCTGGTTTTAATCAGCCGCAATCGTCTAATTTTGGTTCAAGTTCAGCTTTTGGTCAACCCGCATTTGGCCAAAGTACTTTCGGTAGCAGCAACTTTGGGGGAAGTCCTCAACCGACTGGTGCATTTAGTGGTGGTACGAGTGGCTCGGTAGGTCAGACCGGTTTTGGTTTTAATCAACAAGCAAAGCCAGCATTTGGAAGTGGTCCCGTTTTTGGTTCACCTCCTGCTTTCGGTGGAGCCCCCACGTTTGGTAGCTCACCCGTTTTCGGGGGATCTCCCGGTTTTGGTGGTACTTCTAAAGTTTTTGGATTGACTTCGCCTACTCCGGGTAAGTTGTCCATATTAGCAATAAAAATAATTAACAGTTTGTATTTTAGGATTTGGATCGACAACTCAGCAAAATCCAACATTTGCCAACATGGCCAATCAAAATATTGGATTTGGAGCTTTAGCCCAGATGAGTTCTACAACATCCACGGCTCCCAGTTTTTCAGGGTGAGATAATTAATTAATGTATATGTATTGATTTTTATTTTAATTTTTTTTCAGAGGATCTTCGTTTTCATCTTGGCGTTAAACTGGATAATTATCAAAAAGGTAAATAATAATTTTTCATTTTCCTCGAGAGTTTGTGTAAATAATTACCAATTAATTAATAAAATGTTGCATTGAAAGTCACAAGTTTTACAAAACTTTTTTAAACAGGAATTTAAATTCATCTAGTTATTTAGTAATTTACAAAAAATAATTAAAACATTTTTTTCAATTGGGTTGAATTCAAATAGTAGCACTTTAGAATTTTGTTAGGATAGAAATACTATTTTACAAAACGACTTAAATTACATTTGATTTGTTCTGATGTAATATATGTGAGGTTCTTAAACAGAATTATAGCCTACATCAAATATGATTGTGAAATACATATTACATTAATTAAAATAACAAAAACCAAACAATCAAAAGAACATTTCTTATTAGCATTTGCTACGTCGTTTTTTTATTTTTAAATATGTGAACGCTGTTATCGGTACCTCCTGAAACGAGATGTTTTGGATTTGACCAGTCCACACATAACACTTTGCCTTCGTGGCCGGACAATTCGTAAAGAGGCGCTTTGGGACTTCTAGTGTCCCATAATTTTACACTTTCGTCATACCCCCCTGACATAAATAGATGTTCGTCGTGTTGAGCCCACGCTACAGCTGTTACCCATAGGGTGTGCGATACGAATGTTGTCTTGCAAATCGTCCCTTCAACCGATCTTGGGTCATATAGACGAATACGAGTATCCGCTGAACACGTGATTAGAGATTTAGACAGAGGAGACCATGAAGCACCTAAGAATGCCTTTTGCCCCATTATTTCATTCTTCAGTCCACACAACTACAATTGAAGAAGTAATGCAATGGTTAGTCAACTTCAAAATTTGTAGTCTGTAAGAAATGTATTACATCATCAACTGAATTTTACCTCCATATCCCATAAACGTATGGTATGATCCATTGAAACCGTGCAAACCTCATTCGTGTCTATCCATTGTACAGAAGTAATTGCCTCTTTATGACCTAATAATGTGAATAATGGTACCCTTGAGGACATTCCTTTGAATCTTTTATGTGCAGGTTCCTCTGTATCATGTTCAAGAGAAGAAGACCACACTTTAAGATGAGTATCCCATCCCCCTGTTACTATTCTTTGTCTTTCTGTGTTAATACCCAAGCATTCAATGGGTCTCTCATGACCCCTTAATGCAATACAAGGATGAATTTCTTTTGATCCTGGTTCCCAGTGCCAAAGAACACCTGTTAGATCATGAGAAACTGTTGCAAAACCTGCAGAAGGATCTTCAGGTATTAACCAGTGAACTGCTTTAACTGGTTCAGTATGACCAGAGACACTAGCTTGATGTTTTCCATGAATAGACCAAACATTGACAGTATTGTCATAACAACCGGTTAAAATCCTATCAACAATATGCTTTAAATTGGTTGATATAATAATTATATAAATGTATTACCAATTTCCATTGACCTGAATACCAGAAATCCAGTCGTCGTGTAAAAGAGCATCTTCTGGTTGTGGGGGAGGTGTTCTTTGAATATATTCGATAGTTACAATGTCTTCTACAGACAAGCCATATTCTTGGAGATGGTCAACAAGCAAGACACGTAAAAGTTCGCCGTTTACAATGAAATCGAATTCTTGTTTCTTGTGTTGATCAGAGTGTTCTTTTAATAGTGCATTTAGAAGTGTATTTAAACCGATAGTATCAATTGTGGCTGGGACTGAATAAGGAATATCGGGGACCGCATACCTTTAGAAAACACGGAAAAATATATGTACACAGAAAATATTGAACTCGTAATTACACTTACTGTTCCTGTTTGGTTATTAAGCGAATGTGCAGTTGTGACTCGCTACTAGGGTCAATATTTTCCATTTTTATATATTGTTTATGATATGGATGTACTTCCAGTTAAAACCATGGGTTAAAACAGGTTATAAACATAGATAAGAGATATACTGTACTCTATGGATTATAAATGTTTTAAGAATTGATCTAAGTAAAATACTTTTGAATTATTATTATTCATAACAATATTATTTAGGAAAAAAATTGTTTTTAAATAATTTTAGAAACGCTGCAAAGCGCTACCTATTGTTTTATTAAAATTTCGGTACAGTTTTTATGTACAGAGTACAGGACTCTTTATCTATGATCTATAATCTGTGGCCATAGATAATAGATCTACAAAGGGTATGTCTGTTATATACCCTTTGTATATCTATTATCTATGGTTGTGTACAATATGACAACAGTACAATCAATTTGAGGTTTAGTGTAGTTTTTGTGTTTTTTTCAAAATTTGCATTGTGTGAACAAATGGAACAGTGAAATAGAACATGAACGAAAAGCAAAACTTAAAAGAAGAAAAACATCACAAACAACAAGAGTTTTGTTACACGAGACCCGCTTATAGAGCCAGTCGAAGATTAACTGCTGTTAAAGTATGCCTAATATTTCCTTTAAAATAGTAAATTAATAACTTTTTCACATTTTAAACAGGTGTATACTGCTGCTGCAGAATCTCAACATCTTTTTATTTATAATGTTCCAAAAATAAACCTTAGAGCTGAACTAAAAAACTTATGTTCAAAATATGGGCAAATATTGTTAATTAACGTTGTACCTGATTATAAAACTGAATTATTCACCGAATGCTATCATGTTCAATTTGATAGAATTCAAGCTGCAAAGATTGCTAAGCGTTTAATAGACAACAAGTCATTTTATGGGCAAGTGCTTCATGTTTGCTATGCACCTGAATATGAAAACATTGCTGAAACTCAAGCTAAATTAGATCAAAGGAGAAGGGATGTTTTGAAACGTATTGAAAATCCAAACAGATTACCGTTTGATCAAAGGACACTTGGAGATGATGTAAACTTCATGACCATAAGTAAGTCGCAGTTACAGAAGAAAAGAAAATATGAAGATTTAGGTAATGGGAATGCTTCAAGTGATAATAATACTGAAGAATTTTTAAAGGATTTTTACTCCATTTATGATAATAAGAGTAAGAAGAATAAAACTTAAATAGATTTAAAATGACATCAGCTTTTCAACAACAAGCATTTGCCTTAGATGCAAGGTACAATGCTCACAGAGCAACTAACAGCCCAACATTTCGTACATTGTATATACGAAGAAGAAGTCAGCTTTTAAGAGAAGAAGAAAGAAGCCCTGAAGCTTGGAAGCAGTACTTACAAACACGCTCCCAACTTTTACAACAAAGATATGGCTGTCCTCTAGATGTGAATAGTAATTCTAACATTCCCAGTAATCAGTCTAGAGGAAGTATTTCATTTATCGAATTTCACGCTCCTGTGCTTTCAGAGAAAGGAAAACTTGTTCCCACAAAACAGGCTGAAGCTTCTCGAGCCATGGTAGGAGGCAATACTATTGCCGAAAACTATGCTTTTGTTGGAGTACATTATATTTTTGATCAACATACAAAGCCTGTAACAATGGTAAAGTTTGCGAATAATGATCGTTCTAGACTATGTTGTTCTTCTGAAGATGGAACTTTGTCTATATGCTCTGTTATGAGCAGTCCTCCATGTGTATTGGTAATGCTAAAAGGACATTCAAAGGGAGTTACATGTTTCGATTGGTCAGCTGGAAATGATCTTATAGCAAGCTCTTCTGAAGATACAACCATTAAACTATGGAGCGTTGTTAGTGGCACATGTTTAAGAACTATATTGGACCCGCATAATTGTGCATTGCTTTGTTGTCTCTATCAACCAGTAAATAACAATTTATTGGTAACAGGAAATAAGAGTGGGGATGTTCGAATAGCCAATGTATCGACGGGACTGTTCATGAAAAACTCATGTCGTGTTGGTGGAAAAATACTGAGTTTAGCTTTCGACCCTTATGGAAAGAACATTTGGGTGGGAAATGATAGAGGCGAAATAATATCGGCCTTTTGCGATATACAAGGTGAATTGAGACGTACAAGGCGCATTTTAGTTAGCAGCAACTGCAATATAACGAGCTTGAGCCATAGAGCTTGGATAAGTCGGGAAGCTAGAGACCCCATGATACTTGTTAATAGCTCAGACGATTCGCTGTGTCTTTATAAGGTGATCGACAGAGAAGGAGGTCTCTTTCCTAGACGAAAATTTCACAATAAACACCAAAAGTATACTATTAAATCCACGTTTTGCCCCATCATGTCCTTTAGGCAAGGAGCTTGCGTGGTAACGGGAAGCGAAGACGGTTGTATCTATTTTATCGATATCGAAAAACCTGCTAATCGGGCGATATTCAACACCCTACAAGGACATTCCAGTCCAGTATTGTCAGTGAATTTCAATTATGACGAATCTCTGCTTGCAAGTAGTGATTTGGAAGGATTGGTGATCATATGGAAAAGGGCCCAACCTTCATAGTGCAGTTAAATCAAATGGAGAATGAATGTAAGTTTAATTTCTTCTATAAAGCAAAAAATAAGTTATTATTAAACGACAAAAATATGTACTTAATTAAAACGAAACGTTAATTACTAAATATTTTTATTTTATAAAAAAACATATCGTTTATAAAAACAATATATTTTGTCATTCATAATAGTGTTACTTATTTTACATTAATTATACAAACAACCAGGAAATTCGCTATCATCATCCAAAGTTTCTTCATGTTCTGGATCTTCTTCAGGGTCTTTACGTTTGCGTCCATAAGCTCTTTTACTGGTTGTCGGATACACGTCGGTATCGCCATGTAACAGAGAATTACGATACAATAATAGAGGTTGCCAATCTTCCCCTCTGCTGCTCGGCATCCCTTTTAAAATAGAAAATTACTATCTGACTCATTTTAATATTGATAAGCAAATAAGCATAAACTTAGAAGGTTGATTAAGCTTCTCAATGTATATTTAACACCTTGTTAATTGGATATAAATTAATTTTGAAGTAAATTAATATACATACCTATTGGAATGCGCCGATCCATAAATGACAAAACAACTTTTTTGTCTTGTTTCAACAGTTTATTGGTAAATTCTGAAAGAATGTCCAAAAATGGTAGATTAGGCGGTGGTCCAGTAGGGTCTTCGGACGTCTCTGCTCCACTAACAGCAAACAAAATGCCCGCCCTGTGTAAAGCCGTGATAGCTTCTCGATTTTTCACTGCATCCAAACCAAATGATAGGGCAAATCGTTTGGCTAATTCCTGGAAACAAATTTAAATAATAAACAATAGCAAACCATCTCCACCTTGAAGTTTTATTTTTTTTTTAAATTAAACAATGGAAGAAACTATTATTAATTAGTCAAGTTTAATATTAATTATTTTGTATATAAAATACCTTGAGCGCAAAGAAATCATCGTGCTGTCTTATCGACCTGCCTCCGCTCTGTTGTTGTAATTGTTGGAACATCATATTCAAACTCAAACACATCGTAAGAGCACAGTTAACCTTATTAATTTCCCTTGCTTTGCCCAATGTAGTCTTGATAATATCTCCGTAATCATTGTAGTGTTTTACGTAATGTTTGAACACGTCGGCAGCAGCCTTGGTTGGCACAATATTATACACTACTAGTTTACAGTAAGCGGCCAAAAAGTTACGTCTCTTGTGCAATTCCTCGATCCGGTGCTCGTCATGTTCCGAATCTTGTTCTGGTACAAACACATAAACCTGCACAAACTCATTTAATAGGAGCAACAAGTTGCGATCGGGTTCGCACGCGAGCTCAGCCAATGGAGGCGCAGTGTTATTTAGTTGTTCGCTAAACACAATCAACAGATCGCATAGACAGACGTATGCCTCTTCGCGGATGGAAATATGGGGCGACGATCTTATTAATGTTTCAGCAGCAGAAATGAACTCGTCGAGGCGTTGGCGCATCTCTTGCATATTCTGTGCTCCCAGACCACCGCCTTCGTGTAATGTTTCAAGACCACGAAGACCCCATAACAGATAAAAGAAGCATGAAGTTAAACAGTACTTTTGTGCTTCTGGTGGTAATGGGTTTTCTACATCCTGCAAAATAAGATCATTGTATTTATCTTTAGTGCAACTACGCAGCATGCATTAATTAAATGTAAATTAAAAAAACATACCTTCATGTCCTGGAAAAGCGTATTCCATAAACTCCATTGGTTCAGATTATGACATGCGTAAAACAGGGATAGCTTTTTGAGGCTGCTCACAACGTTAAACGTTTCATCAGCGTTTGGTGTTTCTTCCCCTAAAAGTAAATTTCGCCAATCGTCAATAGCATCTTTGTAAGAAGATACGATCATATCGACTATAGTAGAACGAGAGACATCGCAACGGGTGTATAAGGAATGGCCTTCGGAACATAGGAATTCCAATGTTTTTGCGCATGTTTCTAAAACCTGTGTAAACATTTATTTATGATAAAATAATTTTTAAGTACTTTTAGTTACCTCTTGTTCATGATGAATTTCAGCAATATGTTTCATTTTAGCCAATAAAGCCTGCAGAGCTCCTTCTTGTCTACCACTAGTATAGAGGTCTAGATCAAAATACTGGGGTATTGTCAATAAATTGGCAAGCTTTTCCGGATCTACTGAATATTTATCTAACAGTGGGGGAAGGGTGGCTATAAAATGCTCCGTCAATTTTTGTTTATCATCTCCAACCTAAAATTGCAAAATTATATAGATAGGCACATAATTACTGAGTTTGATTGAAAAAACACTACATTTTCTAAATTTTAATAAAAAACTTTTTCTTGTCTTGTAATTTACCTGTCGGATTTCTTTCAAAGACGACACTTTACGCGTAGGCCCCCGTCCTACCGGTGCTTCCCCTGTAGCTGCTTGTTTCACACAACAAACCATTATTTCAATTAAACTAGTTTCTTGCCTGTTGTCGAGAGGTTCTTCATGTGGTCCTGGCTCTTCTAACAGTAAATCAGTCATACATTCCCAATCTTTCATCATGGGATTCGATTCTATAAGCGAGTCAACCAAATATGCAGCATGCTCATGTAATTCTGACTCAATGAAGAATTGAACGAGATCTCGAATGAATGGGGTATTTGAAAGACGCTTCTTTCCACGTTTCGTCTTTCCGGGATCTAGGTCTGAGGGTTGGAAAAGACGTTCGTTCAAAAATTCACCAGCAGCCTGAGCTACAGCTCGATGTGATGAATATACCTACAACAAAATACTGTTTAGTTAGAAGAATCTTATAATTTTAAACAATTTTAATTTAAATATTTATAATAAATCAAAATAAAATACAAAATTCACCAGTTCATAAACATGTTCGCAGTCTTTGTCTGTTAGAATTTCATGATGGTGTTTTAATATGGAAATCACCAATCGTACAGCTTGTACAGCAACATCATACTCCTTGTCTAGAGTCATTGCAACAATTCGATCTTTGAATTTATTTGTAAACAGTTCCAATTTTCCTTTCAATTCTTCATTTGCATACAGGGGTTGTAGTGCTTGTAAACATCTTAATCTGACTTCTCCTACCTAATAATAATCAAATAAAAAAAGTTTATTCTAATAACAAAATGTAATTTAAATGATTTTCATATGTTATCTTTATAATCATAAAATACTTTGTCATGAAGAGTCCATCCAATATATTTTAAATATGAATCATCCAAGAAATTTGCATGAAATTTGTGCATCCATATTCCTATTTCAGTCATAGCAATTGCTCTTATTTCAGGAAGAGTATCTCTGTAGCGATGCACAAAAACTGACTTGAACATATATGTTAGCATATTTTTTATTTCATCCATGTTTTCTTCTAATTCCTGACGTTTTGCTAATAATGTTTCCAAACGATCGCTAGCACGTCTCTCTCTTGTCTTTTGTCTTTCTGCTTCATATTGTCTTTGTGTGTTATCCAAATTTACAGAAACTGTTAGAGCAACATCTACTAAGGCAGTCATGAGTTTCATTGCCCCCAAAGTAGCAGTATGACGAAATGCACGAACCTGTTACATATAAAATAGTATTGCATTATTCTACATAAGATAAAATGATGAATAACAAGAAACTCGCCTGTGAATCTGACAATCCAGTAAGGAGAGAGATTATATTGTCCATAAGAAATTGGTCATAAATAATTGAATACTGACACTGTTTGACGAGTGTTTGGACAAAGTCACAGTAATTTTGTCTGAATTTTTTCCAAGACTGACCAGTCATTATAAGTGGATATTCTCCTGATTCTTCGTCAAATTCTTCAGTCATTTTACGAATAATAGCTGCATGTTCCATTGTTGCTTGCATTTGTTGAGTAATTCTGCCTTTGCAACCTGCTGCATTTATAAAAAATTGCATTAAGGAAATTAAAGCAGCCTCTCTGTTAACCTAAAATGACAAATATCTCTCTTAAATATTAACTTATAAAATAATGTACTGTATTTTTACCTTGTAGCTTTCAATCCAGTCATCAACAACATGAGTTAAGGAGGCTTTACTATTTTTAATAACAGTATATAATGATGTATCATCTTCAGTAGAAGATCCTTCAGTTTGATAATTTTTACGAGTCGGAGGTCTACCTCTACCTCTTCCTCTGGGAGCAGTTGTTGTAACACCACCACTTGTTGGAGAATGATTGGCAGAAGGAGCAGTATGTGCTGCTGGTGGATTAGTAATGCCACGAGCTTTTGATCTAGTGATTCTACGCATTCCAGGAGTTGGTGGAGATTCAAATGTGCCATCTGAAGATGTTCCTGCATGTTCTCCATATGAATCATGATATATATTGGATGAATGGCCATAATTTGAACCGTATTGATCTTGTTCAAGTGCGGGCGTCATAGGATTATCGTATTCCGGAGGAGGTTCGTCCATCCGGATACGTTTTCCACCCCTTCTATGCATCTTGTCTTAATGGTTTAAAAAATATATAAAATAAACAATTTCACTTTTATTTAAATGCTGTAGGAAATCACAAATTTACCACTAAACTAATCAACAAATCAGTTGCACGCAACAAACCATACAACAAACTACTATTGTTTACATTGTTTTCATATTGTAAAAATTATAACCTATTAATAAAAATAAAAGGTAACATCTGCGGCGTCCTTGCATTGCCAACATATCATTCCAAATTTGTATAGGGTAAGTTAGTGTAAGCTTAGTGTATAAAATTTTACTGTCTTGGCTGAACTGGAAGTTGAGGCGCGAAGTTTTTTAGTTTTATAATTTTTATTAGTAGTGTTTGTAGGTTAACTTTATGTATTGTTTATAAAAATGTTACAAAATACTGGAAAATATAGAAAAGAAAGGCCAGAAAAAGAAAATGATAAAATTGAAATTATTTCTAGGTAAATTTATCCAATTTGCAATCATTGTTTCACAGTATGTATTGTTTGCAGGGAAAATTCATCTGAAGCAAGACTAAGACAAGTTATAGAAAATGATAATATAGATCTCAAATATGGATTTGAAAGAATAAAACCTCATGAAGAGAAAGTCGGCTATCTTCTTAATATGCACATGGTAATAAAATTTAGTGAGAATAATAAAAATTGTGAAATACTAACAAATTCAATTATAGAATGAAATGCTGGATGAGGACAAAAGACTTATAGCAGTGGTTGATTACTTTTTTATGGAGGAAGATGGTACGAGATTCAAGGTCTCATATCCATTTATGCCTTATTTTTATATTCTTACGTCTAGAGAGCTGTTACAAGAAGTTGCTCAATTTTTATCTAAGAAGTACTCTGGAGTTATTAATAAAATTGAAGAAGTTGTCAAAGAAGACTTAGATTTGGTAATTTAATCTTTTTTATTGGATTCAAATTTTGATTTATTCTATTTCAAAATTTTATAGCCGAATCATTTAATTGGATTAAAGCAGAAATATTTAAAACTTTCATTTTTAAATCAGAATGATTTACAAAAAGTTCGAAAGGAAATTTTACCAGTTATAAGAAAAAATAAAGAAAAACAGAATAAGTATTACAATCAATTACTAATAAATGCAGTGGCACAAGAAGAAGATATGGAACATCTAAAAATTAATGTAAATCATTTGGAAAGCATTACAGACATTAGGTATTTATTATTTCTTACATATGTAATGTCTTAGTACTTTTTTAGGCTTGCTTTTTTTATCATTGCAGAGAATATGATATACCATACCATGTAAGGGTAGCCATTGATTTAAAATTATTTTGTGGATCTTGGTATAAAGTGAAAACTACAAATGCACTGGGTGATCCTCCATATATTGCCCATTGTCCTGAAATTATTGAACGTCCTGATCCTATAGTGTTGGCCTTTGATATTGAAACAACAAAATTACCACTTAAGTTTCCTGATGCCAATACTGATCAGATCATGATGATTTCATACATGATAGATGGACAAGGTAAAATACTTTATTTTAGAGTTGTACTGGATTATTTTTTGTTGTATATTCTTCATAATTTAAATAATTTAGGCTTTTTAATAACAAATCGTGAAATCATCTCACAAGACATAGAGGACTTTGAATTTACCCCAAAACCAGAATTTGAAGGTAAATTTACAATTTTCAATGAACCTAATGAACGTGGTGTTCTTGAAAAATTTTTTGAACATATAATGGATGTAAGACCTCACATTTTTGTCACTTACAATGGCGATTTTTTTGACTGGCCATTTATTGAAGCTAGAGCAGCAATACATGAATTAGATATGAAACAGGAAATAGGATTTTTCAAAGGTAGAGATGGGGTTTATTCTAGTAGACCAGCAGTTCACATGGATTGTATTTGCTGGGTAAAAAGGGACTCCTATCTTCCTCAAGGATCTCATGGTTTGAAGGCTGTTGCAAAAGCTAAATTGAGGTAATATAACTGCTTTTTGGTGATAACTTTAAAATTATATGATCATTTTTATCATCTTAAAGATACGATCCTGTGGAATTAGATCCTGAAGAAATGTGTCCTTTGGCAGCCGACCAACCTCAAGTTCTATGCAATTATTCTGTTTCTGATGCTGTTGCAACATATTATTTATACATGCAATATGTTCATCCCTTTATTTTTGCTTTGTGCACTATTATTCCGTGTGAACCAGATGAGGTCCTCAGAAAAGGGTCAGGTAAACATACTTTGTCCTATTAAAAACGTAAATGTAAGAAGGGCGATAAGTAAATTGTGCATTTTGAAGGAACCCTTTGTGAAAGTCTTCTCATGGTGCAGGCTTTCCATAAGAATATTATATTTCCTAATAAAGAAGAGCAAATTTTAAACAAGCTCACTGAAGATGGTCATTTACTACATCAGGAAACATATGTTGGTGGTCATGTTGAAGCATTAGAGTCAGGAGTTTTTAGAGCTGACATTCCTTGTCGTTTTCGTATTGAAACTGAAGCTGTTGACAAATTAATAGCAAATGTATTCAAAACTCTTACACATGCCATTGAGATTGAAGAAGGAGTTCCCTTGGAGCACGTCACGAATTTGCAAGAGATCAAAGATGAAATCGTGTCACAATTAGAACAACTTAAGGTGCATTTTTTTTGTTTTTTTTTTCAAAGAATGTATTAGATACACATATTTATTTTAAATGAATAGGAAAAACCTCTGCGCCTAGAGAAACCTTTGATTTACCATTTGGACGTGGGAGCTATGTATCCAAATATTATTTTAACTAATCGCCTTCAACCTTGTGCCATAGTAAATGAACACATTTGTGCTGCTTGCGATTTTAATAAACCACAAGCTGTGTGTCAACGAAAAATGGAATGGATATGGAGAGGAGAATTTAGTAAGTGCATATAGTTTTGGTATCTTATTTAATTCTGCTATATATATATCTTGATTTTCTTTGTTTTAGTGCCGGCTACTAAAAATGAATATTTTCGCATTCAGCAGCAATTGGAGACTGAAAAATTTCCACCCTTATTTCCCGGCAAGCCTCAAAGAGCATTCCACGAGTTATCACGTCAAGAGCAAGCTGAGCTTGAAAAGAAACGGTTGTCGGTGTATTGCAGGAAAGTTTATAAAAAACAAAAAGTCACAAAAACTGAAACAAGAACAACAACCATTTGTCAGAAAGAGAATTCGTTTTATGTTGATACTGTTCGTGCATTTCGTGATAGAAGGTAAATTTAATTACATAATTTGGAAATTTTTGTAATACTTATAGTACAATTTTTTTATATTTGCATATTTCTAATGTTGTTTATGTAGGTATGAATATAAAGCCCTTTCAAAACAAGCTAAAAAAATGGTTTCTGATGCAGTTAAAGGTGGTAACGCTGTTGAAATAAAATCTGCAAAGAATAGAGAAGTTTTATATGATTCTTTGCAACTTGCGCACAAGTGTATTTTAAATTCCTTCTATGGATATGTTATGAGAAGGGGGTAAGTATGTATCGACACATATTGTTAAAGCCTAATTATAAATCCATAAAAATAACTGATTTTATATTAAACAATTTTTTGTATTCTCTATAAAGTCGTTAACAATATTTTTTAATTATCAATTACGCGCGTTGGTTAATAGAGTAAGTAGCTCAATTTACCTCTACTATTTTTATGAATTTCGTCGTGATTTTTAAACTAAAACTTATTTTCAAATTGTTTTCTTCAGTATTTAATATTTATTCATAAATCAAAATAGAGGTTGCAGGATCACATCTCATTAGTATCAGTATACTCTAAAAAGATAATTCAGTTATCTCTCTAGGTCCATTCACTATACTTATCATCCCGTGATCTTTAATAGTTCATAAATTCCAAAAATTTTTATTTAGGGCTCGTTGGCATAGTATGGAAATGGCGGGTATTGTGTGCTATACAGGGGCGAATATTATAATGATGGCTCGTGAAATAATAGAAAAAGTGGGTAGGCCGTTGGAGCTTGATACTGATGGCATCTGGTGCATCTTGCCTTCCTCTTTCCCAGAAAACGTTACCGTTCACACATCCAACGAAAAAAAGAAGAAATTGATAATTTCCTACCCGAACGCAGTATTAAACGCAATGGTGAAAGAACATTTCACAAACAATCAGTATCACGAATTGGTCGATTCGGAAATGTTTGAGTACGAAATTAGGAGCGAAAATTCGATTTTCTTTGAAGTCGACGGCCCTTATAAAGCTATGGTATTGCCAGCTTCAAAAGAAGAAGGAAAACGCTTAAAGAAAAGATATGCGGTGTTTAATTTTGATGGAACCTTAGCGGAATTGAAAGGGTAAGTTTGCCTCTCTTTAAAAAAAATATTTTGACTGAAGAAAAAAGGAAGCGCGAAATAATAAGGAAAATTTCTTAATAGATTTCAGTTACACAAATTCTTAAATTTGAACTAAAGTTATAGTACAGAAAATATTTAAATAAGGAATTTACATTTGACTTATTGCGTATTTTTGAAGTTTGATTGCAGTGCACCTTAAAGGGTATAATTTCGTGGCGTTTACTTTTTAAAAAAGGGACTGAGGTGTAAGAGATTGTCACGTATAAATAAGACATTCGTTTAACTCTAAAAAAAATTACCAATATTTTAAACAGATATTTAAACAAGAAAAATTCGTTTGTAGTTTCGAAGTAAAACGTCGCGGAGAATTACAATTGATCAAGAATTTCCAATCGTCAGTTTTCGAGGCGTTTTTGAAAGGGGACAGTTTGCAGTCATGCTACGCAGCCGTGGCTCAAGTGGCCAATTATTGGTTGGACGTTTTGTATTCTCGTGGAAGAAATTTACCGGATACCGAATTGTTCGAATTAATTTCAGAAAACAAATCAATGTCTCGTAAATTGGAAGACTACGGCGAACAGAAAAGTACATCGATCAGTACTGCAAAGAGATTAGCAGAATTTTTGGGAGATCAGATGGTTAAAGACGCCGGTTTAGCTTGCAAGTATATTATTGCTAAAAAACCAGAAGGAGCACCAGTTACAGAGAGGTATGATATGTATAAAGTTAAAACTAATACGTATATTCATATCGTAAGAAAAAAAGAAGTATTAGAACCGGACATTATTAATTTTCAATTTATTTTTCAAAATAGAGTTATACACACATATTAATACCATAGTATTTTTCAGATATTAATACAATAATAACATCGTACATGTTTGTTAAATGCGTATAAGATTTTTTTAATGATATTTCACATTACTAATGCTGCAGTATGTAGCATCTGTTGTGCAATATTATCGCACAATTTACATTGATGTACAGTTATAAAAATGTTATTTAAAAAAGAAAAAAAGTCTTTTATGCAATTATGATAGTTAAATTTGTTAACTTTCGAATAAAATATAATTTGTTCACTTATTAATGTATATACCCTGTTTCATTTTTAGAGCTATTCCTTTAGCTATTTTTCAAGCAGATGATGCTGTTCAAAAGCATTTTTTAAGGAAGTGGTTAAAAGACAACTCTTTAGGGGACTTTGATATACGTGAAATTCTTGATTGGAACTATTACATTGAAAGGCTTGGTGGAGCTATACAAAAGATTATTACCATCCCTGCTGCAATGCAAGGGGTAGATTTTTATATTTTTTTTTATTCTAATCGCATTGAAATTCCTTACGTTTATATTAGATACATTGCACTCCTAATATTATAATGTTTCAATTGGATTAAAAAAAAATTTTTGTGTTTCAAATTGTACCATTTATTAAGGAATTAATTATTTTAAGATTGCAAACCCTGTACCTAGGGTGCAACACCCCGAATGGCTTCACAAAAGAGTACTGGAAAAAAACGATAATTTTAAACAGCGTAAAATAAATGATATGTTCACCGCGTGTGCAAAACCTCATAGAGATTCTTCTGAAAGTGGACATAGTAGAGATACTAGCGATATCGAAGACATTGGTAAATTCAAATCACCTCCAAGTACCAGCAAAGTTGGAATGGTTACTAAACGCAAGAGACAATCTGATAGTGATAATGAATTTCAAGAAAGTGATTTGGGAAAAAGTTGGAGGACAGTTCTTGGACTGCCTCCGCCATTTGGCAAAACTAGAGTAAGAAAACAATTATAATTTATTTATTTGTATAAACATATCAGAAAATGTATTGCATTATTTTATAAATGCAATATAATGCCTCGCGAGGAGGGAGGGAATCTCCCTGTACTTGTGCATGTGTATTAATACTTACCAATATTAGAACAAAAAATTTAAAAAACTGCCAATCTAAAACTTGATTCTACAACTAAAATTAAATTGATTATGCTACTAAAGTTTAATTCTATTTGAATTAGTGTAATCCTCTTTTCGAACAATATCCAATTCGTTAGATCTTTTTTTATAGTGCAGTTGGATATCAATATTTTCCATTAATTAAATAGCATCAGGGGTGCGAAAATATTAATAAAATAGTTTACATTATGTATTACTTTAGTAATGGTTAACCACTACTTTTGTGATATATATTTCAAATTCAACCATTTTTTAAGTAAATTATTACATAAATTTAATTAAACAATAAGTGGTTTATTTAAATGTGTTTCAAGGAAGAGATTGTGAAATGGATTGAATTTCATAAAAAAAAATGGAGATTCATGGCTCTTCAAAAGGGCGACACAAATCAATATGTTAAACGTTCCAAACAAACTAGGACAGGGGCAATATCAGGCACATTAGGCGGATTCATTCAAAAATCACAAAGGACAAGACTATTGTCTTGCTGGCAAATATTACAAATTGTGCCCACCTCTACCCCTGGAATATTTAAATTATGGGTTCTTGTGAGTTTGTTTTTTTTTCTTAATATGTACTGTATTATAAAAAAAAATATTTTTTCTAAAATCTAAAATTTGTATTTGATTCTTTTTTTCAGATCCAGTCAGAACTATATCAGTTAAAATTAAACATTCCTCGTATTTTTTATGTCAATTTGAGAACACCTAAACGAACAGAAGACAGTGATACCCTTCAGAAATGTAATCGTACTTTACCTCGATCGAGACCTGTTTTTAATTTGTACAAGCAATCCATTCCCGAATTAACATTCATAGAACGTGGCAAGTAAGTTTTTGTATTTTTTACATTTGGAAGAATGCATGTATTTTGGTGAAATTTTAGCGCAAAAAAGTTTGTTCGTGGAGACATGTCGCGAATAACATGTATGTGTGATTGTAATATGTGTCTATATGTGCACAAAATTCAGAAACATCGAAAAAGTTGTCGTGGCATAGTCCACATCACTAAAAGTACAGATATGTTTTAGGCACTCCATATTACTAATTTTATTTTTAATTTTTTATTAGAAAAGAATATGTCGATCAAACAGATCCCAACGTGGAGGGTGTTTACGAGTTGCAAGTGCCGTTGCTCTTTCGTTCTCTTGTTTTTGTTGGATGTGTTTGTAAGGTGCTTCCCGACTCAAAAAATGCCAGTATGGATACGTTCAATCTCGATAAACTGGAAATGACCAGCATTTCGAAGCAGCCTTATTTGGAGGATGGTTGTATCAAACACATTTTCTTATATCAACACCGACTGAACAACAAATCAAGACAGATGTTTGGTTTGTTTTTGACACCACTAAACAAGTCTATAATTATCGTTGTAGACTCTGTAAGGACAAATCTCATGCCTCATATGAATAATTTGTATCAAGCAGAGAGGAAAGCCAAGTAAGTGGTATTTTTTTTACTTTGCTTCTTAGACGTATTTTTACTTTTAACATTTTCTCAATAGAATCGAAAGAAAAGGCAAAGAAAACGTGAAATTACCCCCGGAAATAATAACTTTTGAAATTCGTGTTGAAACTGACCTAAAACAAGTGTACAAAGCCATTCAGAAGGCTCTACAAATGTACAAGGACGAAAAAAAGGGGCCAACAATGGTTGCAGTTCAGTCTTATGATGAGCTATCCTACTTACAAGCTCAGATATCGAACTTAAACGAATATCCTACCATGCAGGTTCATGTTAAGGTAATAACATTAAAATGTTAGAAGTTTTATTACTTGTCTTAATAAATTACGCATTTGTAGCGCTCCGTAGCCAAATGGCAAAAAAGGGAACCTTTATAATTTCATCGGGTTTATTTTCGTCTGTTACACTCTCGCAGTGCTAAACCGATATTAATACTCCTCTATTTAAACGTTTCGTTTCCGAGACATAAAGCATAAATATCAGTTTATAACAAGTGATTTATATCAAGTACTTTAGCTAATCGTGCGCGTATCTAACAAGTCCTTGTATGCTCTTTTTATTAATAATAGTATGTAGAAATATATAGAGTGGTTTTTATTTAAATTATTAATTTTTGTTTGATTATACTTTTTAAAAGATGACAGGTTTCGTAATTATTTATAGATTTTTTTTTTATATTAGGATATGGACGATTTGTATAACAATTTGGAATGGCAAAAGATTGGCGCTAGAGCACTTGTTCGACACTACCTTAACAGTGAAGAAGCTATCAGTCTGACTATAAAACAGTGTCGTTATTTTCATTTACCAGTTGGGAACATGCCCTCTGATCCTGCCCTTTTCGGTGCCGACTTAATGTTTGCTAGGCACCTGATTAAACAAAACCATGTACTTTGGTGCTCTCCAACTGAGAGGCCGGATCTTGGAGGCAGTCAGGAAAACGATGCTAGGTGAGTTATTAAATGAAGTTATTGCGGAATTACAGTAAACACTCGATAGTGTGGACGTAGCATAACACAAATCCCGCTTAGTGTGAACAACGTATTAATGTAGAAGTGAGAGTCTATTGGTCTTAAAAATTGATATTTTGTTGTTGCTTTAAATCCCCTATTTATTTGATACATCCCCAGTCGTATTAATGGAGATTGTATATTCACTTTATTATAGCTAGGTACGTAGATCATTGTTAGTGGTTGTCTTAACTACGTTCTGCATATATAGTCTAATCGTAAGTAATTTTTGTAAATATTAACCCACATTTAAAATTGAATTGAAATTAAACAAATTAACTACAACATTCGTTAACGTAAACGAATCGATAATGTAAACAATTGCTTACTGTAACGTTGCTGTTGTTGAGGAACTTATGCGTGAAACGTTGGGTATATTATTAATTAATAAAAATCTATTTTTTACCTGAAGAATGTTTAGAATAGATAGTTCTTTCTTGATGAATAATTTATCAGGAAAAAAATTAATATGAGTTTACTGTAACCTTTTTAGTTGTTATAGACCGATATTTTGTAATATTTGTTAATTTTTAGGCTATTGGCAGAGACACGTGAAAGTTCGAGTGAAGTGTGTAACAACCCTGGGTGGTACTCATCGGTTTGCATTGAATTGGCAATCGATAGTTTGGCAATTAACACTTTGTTGCAATCCCATCATATAACCGACATGGAAGGAACGAGTTCAAGCGTGGCTTTTGATAACGCAGCGCCCCAATCTTTGGATGAAATGATTGGAGGTCAGACCTCCTTTACGCCATACGACGAATCTTCTAAATGTGCGGAAGCATTTAGAATCCTTAGAATCATGGTCACCGCCTGGATGAGGGACATCACACTCTACCGAAACGTTTTCGCTGACTTCCAAGTGGTTCACTTTTACAGGTAATATTTTCTTCTTTCTTCAGTATTAATTGTTAATGTAATTGTACAAAAGGATACAAATTAATATGAGAATACAACTTACATTCAACTTCACATTTTACTACTTACTTTCTACCCTTTCTATAGGTGGTTGCGAGCACCACAAGCTCTTTTATATGACCCGGCTCTTCTAAGAACCCTGCAAAACCTCATGAAGAAATTATTTATTCAATTGGTGGCCGAGTTCAAACGACTAGGTTGCACTATAGTTTACGCGAACTTTGACAAAATAGTAATATGCTCTAGAAAAACGAAAGTGGAAGACGCCATCGCTAACATCGAATTTGTTGTGGCGTCTTTAAGAAATAGGGAACTGTTTCATTCTCTAGAAATAACTTACAGGTAATGTTTCATAAAGTACGAAATTATTATTTATTTATTGGCAATCAATGGGCATACTACTCAATTACAGATTATAAGTATTACATTACAAAATAGTGTGATTTTTAATCAATTTCGTATGAAGCATAATAAATGAAAATGTTTTCTTTTATTTTTACTTTTGTAGACAATGTTGGGAACAGTTAATTTGGTTGGATTCTGCCAATTACGGTGGCATTGAAGGCAAATTACCAAAAGGTCTTGAATCTGAATGTGGTCTTACAGAAGAATTACAGAATATTCAGGAAGCAGATTCTGAAAATGACCCTAATGAAGTAAGCTTGTTAGCATTTCGTTATATGTTGTTGCTCAAAGTTTATTGTATATTTTTTTATTGAAGCATGTTTCCAATTAAACAAAAATCTCAAGATCTAAATACTAATTTATAGTTTTTGAAGAATATACAATTTTATATATTTAGCGTTTTTAATAATAATATGTAGGTAATTACTTAATATTCACACTTTTTGCAGCCAATGGTCGTTATGAACTGGAATATAGCCGAACAGTTGCCAGAAACTGCAGGTTGTCGAAATAGTTTTAAAGCAATAGTAGCTGGCTATATTCACGCAATCCATTTAAAACTTAAAGAAACGGAGAGCAGCAACGTCCCAGTTACCTTAAGTCAGCCCTCTTTAGGTTTAACTGCTCACAAAGACGTGGTTGAATTTGCACGGGAGCTTATTAGTAGAGATATAAGTCAAAATTTATTTTTGTAAGTTTGAAAAAGTCATTTTTATAGCGGCAGGATTTTTAAAGAAATTATTTTAAGTATCTGTTTTTCATTTTCAGAACGGTGGAAAAATTAAATAGTAGATTGCCTGCCGAAAACAAAGACGGTCATTTTCCAACTCTCGATTTCATCAATTCAATTTGTCATATACTTGGGCTAGATCCTGCTGTTCGAGATGTAGTTGACAATTTAAAAAGTGATCTGCTTAGGCTTGTAGGTGAGTAATTTTGGCATACGTAAATATTCTAGGTCATTTTAGAAAAAACGTAAACCATCTCGAGCATTTTTTCACCCTCATAACATTAATTCCCGTTAAACTAGAGGCTTAAAATCAATTATAGTAAAGCTTACCACGTTCCTGTCTTGTAGAAAGTTTTCAACCTTCAAATTTCTAACTTAATGCAATAAAAAGATACACTCTTTCGAAAATCACATATTTTGTTGTCTCATTTAATAAACTCTATAAAATTGAGACCCTAAATAATAAAATAATTAGTATATTTTATCCAGTAAGTACACGTTAAATTTGTTTTTCAGTTAGATGAAATTAATTTTCCTTTTTAAAATTTTTCAAATCAACAAATCACATTTTTTTTAATTTTACAATATGAATTGATGAGATTTTTGCTAAAATGGTAAAAAATTGATTTAATATGGATATAAGATTATTTAAAGTTAAAAGTGTTATTCAGAAGTTTAGAATTTTGGGTTTACACTGCCTTTTTAATGTCGATGGAAAAAAGCCCTGTATATGTCTTGTTTGAAACATAAACGATAAATATGCAGAATTGTAAACATTGAAGCCAACGTCACACGCTAAACCCATTAAACTCCAGAATAAATGCGTGTTAATAATTTTTTTTTTCATAATATTCAGCTGTGGGAGAGTTTTCGGACAAAGCCTCATTCAAGGATAGGACGGTATCGTATGTGATTCCCCAAATAATTTGCAAGGCGTGTAACCATTGTAGAGACGTTGATTTGGGAAGAGACAGTCATCGATCGGATAGCGCTTGGTTGTGTCCTTTATGTAATTCCCCTTACGACAATTCAGAAATTGAAAATCAACTTTTAGACATCATCACACGGAAAATGATCACGTACAATTTGCAGGATTTGCAATGCAAGAAATGTTCTCAGGTAAGTGATGATTTTTTACAAATTTATTGATGCAATGGGATCATTTTCATATTTTATTTTTATTTATTTTTTTGTTTTTGTTAAATTTTATGCAGATTAAACTGGAAAATTTAACTACGCGATGTAGCTGTGCAGGTGAATTTCGATGTCTTATATCTGCTAATGATTTAATAGAACTTTTACAAACATTTCAACGATTAGCGGAAAGTTTTGATATGTCGGCCCTATATGAAACTGTACACCAAGTGCTTAAATTAGCTTGATAACATTTAAATATTTCAGTGTGATATTTCAATTTATAGATATGACCCATTAAAAATTGTAATTAGTAAGAGGTTATGTCTAATGAACGCATCTTATTTTTTTTGAAATAAAAAATAGTCCCATATCTATGGCTGTTATAAACGAACTTTTTGACAGTTGATCTATTACCCTTTGTGTATCTATTATCTATGGTCTATGCAGTTGACATCGTTGACATTTTGGAAGAGTAATGAGGAGTGATGAGTAAAATTAATAGTTTTAGCACTTTTTATACTCAATTGCCATTGCATTATTCAATAATTTTGAAAAAATTAAAGTCGTATGGGGTAGTTAATTATACATTCATATCTAGAATGGCAATATGTTACTACTAGTTGTGTTTGCCATGCCCCTGGTTGTAAATATAAAACGCTAAACAGAAACATTTTTCGAATAATTTTAAAATTGTCTAACCTGCAATTTATTGGGATATTGATACAAAAATGAAAGTTTTGGAACAATTATGTTGAAAATGAGCACCACAAAGACTATACCACCTCCTGGAAGCACAATTTTCGGGTGGAAAGAATTTGTGTGTGGTTGGGGAGCAGCATTTATTAACATAACAATAACCTATCCCGTTAACAAGATCATATTTCGACAGGTTAGAGTATTTATTATTTACTTTATATAATAATGTAAATAAAATGTTGTAGATGTTACATGGTATGAAAGCTTCAAGTGCTTTCTTACAACTTCAAAATGAAGGTATCGAATTTTTATTTATTATATTTGCATATTTCTAATGTTGTTTATGTAGGTATGAATATAAAGCCCTTTCAAAACAAGCTAAAAAAATGNAGAGTATTTATTATTTACTTTATATAATAATGTAAATAAAATGTTGTAGATGTTACATGGTATGAAAGCTTCAAGTGCTTTCTTACAACTTCAAAATGAAGGTATCGAATTTTTATATAGGGGAATGCTACCTCCTTTATGTCAAAAAACGTTTTCAGTTTCTATAATGTTTGGGGTTTATGAAGAAACTAGAAAACCACTAGTAAATTATGGAACAAATCCATATCTTGCAAAATCTATAGCTGCTATTCTTGCAGGAACAGCTGAAGCAATTTTAATGCCTTTTGAACGAATTCAAACACTCTTAGCTGACTCTGCATATCATCATCATTTTAGAAACACCTTTCATGCATTTAAAGTTGTAGGATTGGAGTATGGTGTCAAGGAGTATTACAGAGGCTTAGTGCCAATTTTATTAAGAAATGGCCCATCAAATGTGTTATTTTTTGTCATCAGAGAAGAGTTACATGAAAGATTTCACGATGATAAGAGACTTCCTAGATCAGTGATAAATTTTCTTTCGGGAGCTGCAATTGGAATTATACTTTCTGCTTTATTCTATCCTCTTAATGTTGCCAAAATTACTATGCAGAGTCAACTAGGTGGCGAGTTTCATGGTTTAATACATGCTATGAAACATATGTACCAAATGAGAGGTGGAAAAATACGATATTTATACTACGGTTTACATACAAATGTTATGAGAGCGTGTCTTAGTTGGGGAATCATTAATAGTGCTTATGAAACTCTTAAGAAAATTTTGTTTAATGTTGATTTTTAACATATTATTAAATTTATTTATTTATAGATAGGAAATTTAAGTGTTCAGTGAGTATCTTTTTTTACTTTAACAACTTTACAATCTAAATGTGATTTCATGTATAAAAACTCTTCTGAGGAAGATCTGTTGATTATTTTTTTAAATGTTTTATTTTCAACAACAGTTTCAAATAAAACATCAAAGTAAGTTGCATTATGCAATACTTATGACTTTTTTCTTACTTTACTTGATACTATATTAATCTAAATTTCAATTGGTATGTAAATGTAAAGCTGTTTCTACTAGAAATTCACTTTGTGATAAAAAGGGCTAAAAATTTAAACTTTGTTCAATTTTTATCAACCATATTAGGTAAGTGCAATTTTAAGCTGTTATAAATAAGAGATTTTCCAAATACCTGGTTTAAACTACGACCAAAACTCTTGAGTTAATGTTATTAATCTGTTGTAGTACTGTTGTTATTTACTTCAGGAATTCGGAATTCAAACTATTAAAAATTGAATAATGAATTTTATTAGAACAAATTTAGCAGGTTTATAAGATAAGAAATACTTTATCTTTGTTTAACAACAGTGTTCTATTTAATTTTCATGTCTGGAAAAAGGACAACTAATTGTTTATTTGTTAAAGCTACTTTGATTGTCTTTAATTAGTTATATGTTTTTTCACTCGTAACGTAAATTATTTTGTCATAAGACTCAGACTGTCATTGTAAGGCCAGTAATTTATTATTCTGCATTAATCAAGTAATCGTTTTTCTGTCTTAGCTGCAGCAAATTTGTAATATTTGTAAAACAACATACAACCAGTTAAAAATTACATAATGTGGGTAAAGTAGTTACAATTGCCTTAAAAAGTATCACATTTTCTTTGTTAGTTGAGACTGTCCTTTGATTTTTATAGACTTTTAATCTTTAATTTTTTGTTGCTGTTTAAGCCAACAAGTGCATAATGGTGTAGGGTATTACACATATCACTTTATCTACGCATTTCACAATATACATTCAAATTCGCAACATTAATTCGTCAACAATATATCGGAAAGGTAGGGTTCAGTTTTTTACTTTTTATTGTTTATTAACCACTTAAAAATATACATAGTTGTACAAAAGAATTATTATTAATTATTATTATTGCTATTTATTTAAATTGAAAATTAATTTCTCCCGTGTTAAACTAGCTGAAAATACCAAATTATAATAAAGTTGCTGTGAGCGATCAGTGAAATTAATTTTGTAGTTGTAAATTACATGGATACACATTCAAACCCCAATTTAAAAACGTTTTTATTTCTCGATATATTAATATAAATAGCAAAATGTATTAAGGTTGTTATTGGTCAACAGTGAAAAAAAATTCGTAGTTGGAAATTACCTGGTTATACTTATACCCCAACTTAGAAACGTCGTTTTTAATTCTTGATAAACTTTCCCGTATTAAATGAACTGATAGTATCAAAATGTATTAATGTTATTGTGACGTATCAGTGAAAAGAGTTTTATAGTTGAAAGTCACCAGGGAGCCCATTAATTTCAATTTAAAGACGTATTATTTCTTAATAAATTAATTTTCCCCTTATTAAATGAACTGAAAGTATCAATATATATATTGGAATTGTTGTGAGGCATCAGTTAAATGAATTTTGTAATTAGAAATTGGCGGAATGCACTTTCAACCCTTAATTTAAAGACGTTTTTATTTCTTAATAAATTATTTTCTTTTTTATGAAACGAACTGAAAGCACCAAAATGTAATAAAATAGTCGAGGTTGAGCGCCAACTATAGCAACTGAACGGACGATGAGAACGCTTTGCAGTATAATGGGTTGTCTATGAAGGACAAGCGATTGCTAGTATTTAAAATTATTAATACAAAAGAATAAAATTAAATTAGTATGATACGTTCGCGCAAAATTAAATGGGTGCGCTGTAGTTTAGGATAAATAAAAAAGATACAGTGCCTCTCGATAAAGGTAGAAATATTACAGTACTATGTTACAGTGTTAGTCGAAATTTGTAAGCAGAAATTTTTTTTGATTTTAATAAAATACTGTAGGTATTTAAATTAATTTGGTACATAAACAGTTTAAGAAAATAATCACGATTTAATAACACTAAACACTGCTGATTGGAACGAATGTTTGGACTTTTTTTTTGATACTTTTTGTCTAATTTAAATATTTTTATGCTGTGTACTGTGCACTACAACTTTTATGTGTTTTCTGAGAAAGATTTGTACAATTAAAAATACCTTTGTTAACTGTATTTGGGAAAATTGTACTGTTTATTTCTTAATTAAATCTTCTATTATTGAGATGAGGAAAGCATAATAATGTAATAATAGTCAAGAAAATGCTTCTTAATCAAAAATAGCGAGTGTTTAAGTAAGAGAAAAATAATGTACCCGTCTTTTAGTTTCCATATAGTAACGATAAAAACAAAGCAATGAATTTTTAATCGTCTGTCCAAACATTGATAACTTTGTAAGTTTTTTTCATCCATAGATGCAGTGACAAAACGATGGCGGGAGGGAGGGGTACGTGCGGGCCTGTCTTGCTCATGCTAGCCTACCCTGAACATTAACTTAACGTTAAAAAAACGGTAAGGATTCAGCTACACATCTCACAACTTTTTTTATATAATGATGATTAAAATATAGACTACTTTGTTCAAATCGAGAAATTTTTTGTGATAAAGGCGATTGCTAAATTTTGCTGAAAAATAGTAGGTATAAATTGATTGATTTTTTAATTTGCTTCTAATTCGTTACAAATGGGCATGAATACAAAAAGACGCTTAAACAAATACTGAAATAAGATTGTGGCCCAAATTCTGGTAAATTATTTAAATTCGAAAGCACTCGTTTCTTACAATTTGTCAAAATTTCATGAAAACCAAGACACTGCAATTTATACCCGAAGTATTTGTTAACCGTTCTTCAAACGAACTTCGATTTTATAAATTGTTTATACATTGAAATGAAGAAAGGTTATTTTACTTGTTTATATTTGCCTTATTTTTAAAAGCTGAAATGAATGACATACCAATATGATTTGGTTACTATATTAATTACTTTAAAAAAACATTCTGCAAAAGAAACAGTAAAAAATTGCTATTTATTCAAAAAATGTTTTTATGCTTCGAATTTTGAGTATTTCGCGCCAGTTCCGTCAATTTTGGTAACATTCGAATGGTGATTATCTATGGATTCGAATAATCACTTCATCTGTGGATAATCTTATTTGAACTCATTGCGATACTCCGTTTGTGTATCTATCTATGGTATCTATTATCTATGGTTTTATCTTGTGGAGATAATTTGTTATGGTGGGTGTATTTAAACTTTATCAGAGTATTTTTTAAATTGTCATTATACAACAACCAACGATTATTTAACAAAAGAGTGATATTCGTTAAGTATAATTTCCTTCGACCAGATTAATACAATCATAACAAAATGTTGATGAACGTTGCTGACGTACTCTCGTTCACTGGTTTACTGCCCATCGTTATGCTTCGTCCTTGTTATGCGCATTTTTGATAAAAAAATTGTATCAGGAGAGGTTCTGGAATTACAGTTTTATATGTGGTATGTATCTTATTATTGGAGTATCGGATTATTTTTAGGATTCCCATTAAACAAATTGTTAAGTAAATGAATAGTGCAGTGTTACTCCGGCATATTTGATAATGTAGGAAAAGCCTGGAAGCTTGTTTATGCATATCCACCTATTTTGTGAAAAATAATAGCTACTCGTTCGGTATCAATGAAATTCATTTTGTAAAACAATTCAATTGTATCACATAATTTGTAGGGGAATTACTGTTTTCATCCATTAACCTTATCGTTATTTTTCAATTTTCATTTTTGTTCTTTTCTTTCCACAGATAAACTTGGGAATACTTTTTTTCATCCAGGTATTTGACCTAAACAAAATGTGTATATTTCCTCTTGAAGGCCTTGTTGTTAAGTGGTAAGATGTCCAAAAATATTAGAAAATAAATACAAATGTTATTTGTTTCAAACGTCCTGATAACTGTAAATGATTTTGTAAAATTTGAAAATGAAGCATCTATTAATATAGATATTACTTTAATTATGTATATGGAAAGTTCATTTAAATGAAATAGGTACATAGTTGCTGTACCTAAACTAATTAAAATTTTTGTTGTTTTCTGCAGGCTTTACAATATCTACCAAGGACCATGGAAATGATTAATGGTAGTGTGTAATAATTTTAATGTTATGAAGTGCTTTTCCTGAATGTATCATTTCTTTCACACTAGTAAACCTTCCTGGATTACTTTGGGGTAAGATTGTAGCTTTTAATAATTTTAAGAAGTTTTGTTTAGTACTAGTGTACCACGTACAATTTGCAGGATTTGCAATGCAAGAAATGTTCTCAGGTAAGTGATGATTTTTTACAAATTTATTGATGCAATGGGATCATTTTCATATTTTATTTTTATTTATTTTTTTGTTTTTGTTAAATTTTATGCAGATTAAACTGGAAAATTTAACTACGCGATGTAGCTGTGCAGGTGAATTTCGATGTCTTATATCTGCTAATGATTTAATAGAACTTTTACAAACATTTCAACGATTNCTACAAATAAACAATTTTTCGAACAAGATGACACAAATAGGAAAGCTTAATTTATTTTTCACTAACTAAAATAATTAGGAAATCAACTTAATTTATGAATAATTTGCAAATAAAATAATTATTTATTGGTCTGAGGGAAAGACATTAAAGTTGTTATGTTTCTATCTCCATTTAGCTTCAAAGAAGAGCTATGAAAATGTTCTTTTCTTCCCTGGAAATAAGATAATAATCATAGTGGGGAGTCAATTGCTGAAGAAGAAGTTTGACGTGTAATTGGTTCCTTTTTGAATGCATAAGAAGTTACAGAATTAGAGGGTAAGAAAATTAAATATTTTTGGGGATTTAGTTAGTTTGATAAACAATTCTAAATAACGATAGTTTCATAATGTAATGATCTAAAACGACAAGTATAGAGAAATATTATTTAATGTAGGTAAACAATGCAACAACAATAAGAAACCAGATAATTTCAAAATATGACGAACGAACATAATTTTTATACATTCATAATTGAGATTTTTTAATTAATATGTCTAGTACCACTGAAATGAGAATATTGTTTAAATTGTTAAATTATTCGTTCTAAAGATACCTGTCTGGTTTGGTTATAAAGTACATTTCGTTTTAAACAGCTATTTTGATAGATTAACAGTGATGCATACATGTTTATATGAAATCCTCTCTGTCTAAAAGCAAACGGTGAATGATGTACGCATGATGGGACTGATAAAAATTGCGAAAAAGAGCGACTAGTTGCAAATAATTCCTACCATATCTCCGCCTTCTTCTTCAGGTTTCCCTTACGCTGCATATCCCTTAGAACTTTCGGTGTACTACTAAATTCCCTTAAGGGACCGTATGAGTTGTTTAAATAAATCGTTTTCGAACAAGGCAACCTCTTACGTCAAAATAAAAACGGCAAGGTTTAATGCGGCTGTCTTGTAACAGTCCACCAGATCGGTGGTAACCGGCTACTTCTTACAATTTTTTTATTTTTATTGTTATTGTACTAAGAAATTACTCAAAGAATGTTCAGCAATTTTCATTGGTTATTCAAAATAAATAGAGGAACCCGCCAATCGTTATTTCGTCTCCTTTTTTTTTTAATCTTTTCTACAACTACTTTTTTTCTCAACCTTACCTATAAGTACACATTCACCTCTCCTTCATTTACAATCCAATCGACTTAACAATATTTTTCTGAAACTGCTCAATTACTTTCATACAAGAAGATAAGTACATGATCAAAACATAATAAAAACAATAATTCGTAACATGAGAAATGAGAGCTCATATCAGCACAAAAAAAAACGCATGTCCCGTCGCCTAAAATACATAGCATTATTACTACTTAACAAGATTTTATTATTAATGAAATGGATTTCTGGCTTGGCTCTTGGTGAGACATGTTTAAATAGTAACTTTTATTTGTTTCACAACTTTATTTGGATTCTAACAATATTGTTTCGGCTGTTATGCAATTATCAAAGTGGAATTAGTAATATGAATAAAGTGGTATTTATACAAGAGGGTTGAAACCTAACATAAATATACATTCACAGATATGTCCTAGTAGCTAACATCAAAAATAGGTAAATCCTAAAATCGGTTTGATCATTTCTCATAGTTAAGCCATTGTTTCGAGTCGCAAAAGCTGTAAATCATTAACAGCATAAATTACCAGTTATACATAATTATTACAGTGCAAAGCCGATTTGAAATGGGAAATTTGGGCAGAAATAAAATTTTGGTATACTTTTATTGGTGAAATGTTTTAGGTAGGCGAGTCGCTTTAGATGACACTTTTATGGCTTTTGCGACTCGAGACGTTGGCTTATTTACCTATACCTGTTTACCTGGAATATTTGTAATAGTAGATACTTTCCGAGTTCATATTTTTAGCATTACTAATTTGGTATAGTTGTTTATCAGCATTTAAGATACAATAGGATAATCCTATAAAGCATTTTTCTAAAAAATTTTTCAAAAATTAAGATCACTAATGAAATTGTCTTCTTCATGAGGTGAACATCTGTAGAGACCTGAGATTCTAACCTGTCTTAAATTAGATTCCGCAGTTATTACACGTACCACTTTCACCTTATTGTAAGTGCGTACTTATGACCATCCTATGTAGTATTAGCTTGTGAATATATTAGTACATCGATCGCCTTGTTCATTATGTTCTTGAGTAAACATAATCTTGCATTAAAGACAAGATCATTTGTTTATTATAAAGAGTTAATTATCCGAAAGCTCTTGATGAAACACTTTATAAATATAAAATAGAATAAAAGACACTTCGTGAAGTTCTACATATTAATATTTGTACTCCTGATGATGCCCTTCGAGTTTTAATAAATAAATAAAATTTTGAGGGTATTTTATTCTATTTTGTATTTATTAATTTACTTATTGGTGTTCTCAGTTTTTAACTGCTCTTACAATTCTACAAACTAGGTTTTGCAATTGTACAGTGGTGTTAAACTTTAAAATTTAATTTGACAATCTGACTAAGTAGTTCATTTTAAAGTATCTATTACATGAAAATTATAAACAAATTAAACAATCGTTCTTATGTCAGAATTTTTAAATTTGAAAGTAAATTACATTGAAAATGAAACCAGTCTTAATGATTCGTTTAATATTTAATTCTAAACAGTCATCCTAGAAGATTTATTATACATATAATAACATCGAAAGGAGTGATAAAAAACTTAAGTGTTATAAAAGTTCAACAATATTTAATTTTTCTTTAGGTACCTACAGTTCTTTTTTGAATTAAGATGTCAACTCACTTCATTTTCTTAATTATGATTTTATTTAAAAAAAATTTCATTCATCAATCATCTCAACCCTTTTTACGGCGTTGCGATATCATTTTGTTTTACAAATCACCATGCGTAATTTTGAACTATCAACTTGCCACTGATAATACAAGAACCAAGGCACACACACACACACACCAAACGTCGTCGCAGGGAAAGTGTAAAGGAATCATGTTGCTCACTATAAACTGATTTCACTGTGTTAATTACTTGATGAAACATATGCTTAATATTACTCAAAATGTTGAAAAGAAAACACTTGGTAGGTGTTACTTAAAATTACATTGACCTGTATTATTTTCTTTGTCAGATGGGCCTTTTGTGCTCATTTTAAGGCTCAGTTACTCAGGACAATGTAAATGGCCTCACTATTTCCGCAATTTATTTGGTATTTTTTCTGTAAAGTATTCATCTTCTCTTTATTATTTACCAGAAATTTAATCTATGGCATATTTTGATAGTAACATGGAGGATGAAATTGTATTTGGGGAGGCAAAGAAATTCTTTAGGAATAATCTCTTTCGCATTTTATTTAGTAAAGAATCTATTATATTTTCTTTATAACAATTGTTTTTATCCGCTTATGACATCTTTTCTGAATTTCTTTAATGTGTTGGTGAAATTGTTCAACGTATTCTTTACTGGCATCAGCAAGATTGTCCAAATCTGCATGTAAAAAGTTAATTTCTGTGCTATTATTCCTAGAAATCTATTTACAACGTTCATAACCCTTCTAGACATTTTTTGCAATGATGTTAATTACGTTTTCAAACTCATCAATTTTCATAATGATTCTCATTTTTTTATTAGAATAAAGCTTGTATTCGAATCGTTTACATATTTAAATGAACGGAAATTAATCATTTCTAATTTTGTTTTAAGTCGTGAAGTTATCGTGTGTCAATATTGCTAAATATTTTATATATATGTTTAAGAAAAGAAAAGTATGGCAAAATATAACTTAGTAAAATTTGAAATTTCCGGCAACACACAAGACATCTTTGCACTGCTAAAAATAAACATGTTGATTAGTAATTTATTCGACAGTGATTCAATACTTGGTAACAATAATTAAAAACACAATTAAATGTCTCAAGAATAGAATTTTCTTCTGTTCCTGAAACATTTGAAGGTATATGAAATGTTTTATTGCTTATTTTCTTCGAATTTTAAATATTTCGCGCTTTTATATGTCGTGCCTACGGCGCTCGTTTCCGTCAACTTCGCTAACGTTCGGATAATCTCGTAACCAGTTGCATTTTCGTGATTTTTAATTTACAATAATGCTCGTTTTATCTAATTATCGTGATAATTACTTATAGTTGATGTATTCAAATTTTATCAAAGATTTTTTTAAGCTAGAATTATGCAATAACCAACGATTATTTAGTGAAAGAAATATATTACTACTTTCTTCGAAATTAACAAAATGTTGATGACGTACTTCCTTCTTGTTCACTTTTCACTGGTCTGCTGCATCCACTGTGTCATGTACTGCTCGTGACTTTTATGTGCATTTTTGATTAAAAGAAATTGGAAAAAGTAATGGTACATACAAAATTTGTATCGCAATAGGTTCTGGAGTAACGGTTTTATACGTGGTATGTATTTTTATTGTTCGGGTATCGTATTATTTTTACGATTCTTGTTAATTAAACTGTTAAGTAAATGGACGGTGTAAGCGTTATTCCGCCATATTCGTTAATCTAGGAAAAGCCTGGAAACTTGTTTATGCATATCGATCGATTTTGTGAATAATTATAAGCTACTCGTTCAGTATAAATAAAGTTGATTTTGTCAAATAATTGAGTTGTATGTAATAGAATCGGTGTTTTCGTTCATTATAGTTTTCTTGATCTATAAAATTATTATTTTTGACTCATTTGTTTTTTTCTAGATACACCTTGGAATGCATTTTCCCCTTACCAATGCCAAGTAATGTTTCGTCCAGCAGTTCAGCCTACACACAGATGGTGCATTTCTTTTGAAGACTTTATTACCGAGAGGTAAGATGGTAATTAATTTTGTTTTTATTAAATTTTACATGTTGAAATACTTCTGGCAACTGAGGCTTCTTCAACGTTTGTATTTGGAGTTTTTGGGTGTTTATGTTTCATTTTCTTATCTTCGGGAAATATCTTTACGATCATTTGTATGGGTTTTATTACAAACGAAATTTTGATTAGCAAAAGCAGGAACAATTGTTAACTTCGGCTGTGATGTTCTGCTTAATTATTTTATTTTATAATTAATCATTTTTTCGCCAATTTCTACAGATGGACTGTAAATGAGAAGGAGAGAGAACAATGGAGTTGATTTTGATGTTGTGCAGCAACCAGTATCTACAATGGTATTGTCGCTTTTTCTGGACTTGGTATTCTATTATCATCTTCATCTTGTGCATGAACAACTGGAAATTTATTTCAAAATCACTAAACTTGTGGCCATTCTTCCTGGGTTTGGTTTACTCTTCACATTTGTAAAGTGTCGAAACGTTGCCCGCTACTGTTATTTAAGGTGAGAATAAATGATATAATTAATATTAAGGTCATTTTTTACATTAGTTGACATTGGAATTGAGACATGAAGTTTAGTCAGGTAGATAGTACTCACCTAGTAGAGTCGTGTGGTAGTATTAATTCGATGCGGAAACCAATGTGGCTTGAGATATAGCCTCCTAAAGTTTTCTTTATTGGAGGAAATTTCGGTAAGTACGGCCCTGGCCGCAGCCCTTCGTCAGCTGTTCGTGCCGCTCGTCAGCTGTTCCCGTGAAATACGGCTGGATGACGTCATTGTTTAGTTAGATAGATTTATGACAGACTGGAGTATGTTAAATGCCCCTGCCCGCCGAAGGCGGGCTGATAGGTTGGAATAATGTCACGTAATTATGATTGTTTCCGCAAACACGATGAATTTTCGTCAGCTGTTCCCGTAAAATAGGGCTGGATGACGTCATTGTTTAGTTAGGTAGATTTATGACAGACTGGAGTTTGTTTAATGCCCCTGCCCGCCGAAGGCGGGCTGATAGGTTGGAATAATGTCACGTAATTATGATTGTTTCCGCAAACACGATGAATTTTCGTCAGCTGTTCCCGTAAAATAGGGCTGGATGACGTCATTGTTTAGTTGGTAGATTTATGACAGACTGGAGTTTGTTTAATGCCCCTGCCCGCCGAAGGCGGGCTGATAGGTTGGAATAATGTCACGTAATTATGATTGTTTCCGCAAACACGATGAATTTTCGTCAGCTGTTCCCGTAAAATAGGGCTGGATGACGTCATTGTTTAGTTAGGTAGATTTATGACAGACTGGAGTTTGTTTAATGCCCCTGCCCGCCGAAGGCGGGCTGATAGGTTGGAATAATGTCACGTAATTATGATTGTTTCCGTAAACACGATGAATTTTTACTACTAAAAACGTGAGAAAATTAGAGAATTGCGATTGAGAATCAGGACTGTAGCGCGTCAGACATTGGGGATAACATACACACTGACACCTATTACCTACCCGGGCGCCTATAAACATAAAGAAAATGTTATGCTTACGAATGATGGTGTACGTAGGCATCACACGGAATCAACGGAGAGGCGCCAGGGTTGGCGACTAATGGGAAGTGAAGTAGCCCTGTCGCATAAAACTGTCATCGAGTGTTGTAAAAGATTATCGAATTTCACATGCATACGTTATTGTTAGTGTGTTTTAGGTTTCTATTTCTTCGAAGTTGGCTTTTGGTGTTTTACTTATTTTGTAATTTTAAAAACATGGTTGAAAATGGACCTTTAGTATTGTTAGCATATTGTTACTATTTACCATTGTTGTTTTTTAAATAAATAACACAACCTTTACTTTAGTATATAGCTATTTTTGGTGGTGGTATTAAAATTTTACCCTTGTTACGACTTAATTTTAGCAGTACGTTAAAAAAGTTAGCCTTCACTACCTCTACACTTGTTACAATTACGAAGTAATTAAGACAAAATTACAATAAAACTACGGTGAAAGTAATCGTTCAATAGTAAAAATTGCAAAATGTATGGGAATTGAATTGTTTTAGTACATGGGGATGTGTGAATGTGAATGTTATTTGCAAATAGCCTGTATTTCGTCTTTTTCTCCTATTAGCCATACTGTAAAGTAGTTTTTCTTGAACGTCATGTCAGATGTCCCATACTGTTTAGAAACAATTATAAAGAGTCTGGAAGAGTGGTTTTACACTATCAAGTTACAGCTGGTTAGGTAACAGGTACATGTAACTTAGCATGTGTGTTTCCGCATCCCTAGTCGTTGGTGCCATAGTTTGGCCCGAGGAATTGGGAAGTGTTACTTAAAACACATGGCCCTATGCCGTAAAGAAAAACAAACGTAATCGTCCTATTGGTTATTAGAAGTTATATGTAAGAAGGGGATGGGGAAAGTATTTAAGCTGATTATGCGTTTTTACGCATCAGTTTCTTGTTTGTTGTTTGCTATATTTTCAAAATTTTTGCCTGCCGTTCATTACAATAATGGATCATTTTGATACCATTCGTTCATTTCCAACCGTTCAGTCGTGCGGTTTCAATACATGCAGCAAATGTGAATTAACAGATGCGGAATTCACGCGGCTCATTGACGACAAAAACGCATTACTTCAATTTTTAATAAAACACGGGGTTGTGTCGTGTCATACTGTCTGCCCCAAGTGCGACAAAAGATTGAAGTTAAAAGAAGTTGGGAACCAGTGGCGATACGACTGCCGACGCCTGTCATACAAAGGGAACCGCCGCCGACAATGCTCATTTCGCGATACCGCGTTAAGAGGGACATTTTTTAATCATTCGCGAATACCCATTGTTCAGGCGTGCACGTTGGTGACCATTTATCTTTCCCGAAATGCACCCCGAGTCTATTATGCCCATCGAGAGACTGGTCTTTCAACGAGAACTGTGGTGGACTGGTTCTCGTTCATAAGGGAAGTTCTTATCGACTGGGTTTATCGTCGATCGGCAAAATTAGGTGGACCGGGGAAGATAGTGGAGATTGACGAGGCAAAGTTGGGGAAGCGAAAATACAACCGGGGTCGTCTTCTTCGCGGACAATGGGTACTCGGCGGAATTGAACGGGGTGAACGCGGTTCTAATCCAGGAAAAATGTTTCTCATCCCAGTGCCGGACCGAAGTGCGGAAACGTTAGTTAACGTTATAGTGAATAATGTGTTGCCTGGTTCAACAATTATAACAGACGGTTGGCGTAGTTATAATTTGTTGAGCCAACATGACTACCGCCATCTCACTGTGAATCATGAACTAAACTTCGTTGACGCACGTACTGGTGCACACACCCAGAACATTGAACGTTCGTGGGTGGAAGTGCGTAGGCATGTGCCCAGGGCCGGACTGGTTAAGAACCATTTAGCGTCCTATCTTGCTGACAGCATTTTTCGGAGGGTGGTTCCCGATCATCGCTTGCGACGGCATTGTTTTTGGCAGGCGGTTGCGCAGCTGTACCCTCCTGTCGAACACCCCTTACGTTAAGTAAGTTGCATGTTACATTTTACTACTTACATTGCATAATTTTGGTCATTTTCTACCCCCCCCCCTTCCACCCCCTTCTTCCACATCATTGACTTTTACGCTAATTATCACTACTACTAACATGTTTCACCCAATTTCACTCATTTCTCCAACAATACCGCCAAAATTTACATGTATACTACATTACCCCCCTTCCCCCCTTTCCTCCCCTCCTCACATTCACCCTTTACAACACCATCAACAACGTCTACACTACAATGATTTCCATCGTTTCTCAAAAAAACCTGCAAATATTCCCATTCTTACTACTGTTCCCCCTTCACCCCCCCCCTTACATTTTCCACTTGCTTCGCTTTTCCGCAACACCAAACAACATTTCCCGTGTCTTACACACCTTTTAACGTAATTTCTGTAAAAACCACGCAAAAACAGCAATGTCAACTAATGTAAAAAATTACCAATATTAATAATTCAGTGATTTCACTTCTTGATGTATGTTTTGTTGTATTTCATGTCTTATTTATATGAGAGTGTAATTAATTAGTTCTTTCTTTTAGATGTTTAATGCCTTCTGCAATTATTTGTTTAATTAATATGTTTTTTTGCCCATTTCTGCAGATTGTCCAACAAGTGAGAAACAAATAAGTTCAGTTTGGTTGTGCTTAAATAACTGATGTCTACATGGACAGCATTATGCAGTTAATTTTGGGCTGATGAGATAGAACAACTGGAAATTTATTTGGAAACCAAACATGTCATTGTTCGTGGATTTGACTTGCTCTTCACACTTCTAAAACTCTGGAACGTTGCATTCTTCATTTAATTAAGGTGAGAATATATGATATGATTAGTATTAATGCTCTTTGTTAATCTGTTGTGGTGTTTATTTTAATATCTACTGTTCATAGCACAAATTGAGGTTATCGTGCATCTATGGTATTTCATTCAGCAGTTCTCTATTGTCCTTACTAAATTGACATTGTTCAACTATGTTATTTCTGACAACGATTATCTGTTGTTCTTAAAATAAATTGACATCGTGAATCTATGATTGTTTCACATTCATCTATGTTATGTTATGATGAAAAGTGACGTTACTCGCCATTTTATAATTCATTTATTTAACTTGCTTTTTGATACATGTTTTATTATATTTCATATCTTATTTATGTGTGAGTGTAATTAATTAATACGTTCTTTTAGGTGTTTAATGTCTTCCGTAATTAATAGTGTATTTAATCCGTTTTTTTGTTCATTTCTGCAGATTGTTCAACAAATGGGAAAGAATTAAAGGTCAGTTTGGTCCTATTGAAACAACCAATGTCTACATGGGCATCATCTTTCCTGGATTGTTCTCTTGATCAGCTGTTTACATTTTTGCATTGCAACATATGAAGTTAATTTGAATTCCACTGAAATTGCAAATTTTCTGCTACCCTATTCCTCCTGGAGTGGGTTTGCTTTTCACACCTGTAAACTTTGGAACATTACAGTCTACAGTTAATTAAGGTGAGGATACTTGATATAATTAATTTTAATTGCTCTTTATTAATCTGTTACCACCGTATCTGTTTCAGATCGACGCTGGAGAAGACAAAGATGACCCCGTAGTTGAAATAGTTCTTTATTGTCTGTATTTTTTTCTTCTACATATATTTTCCAAACACCAAAATAACACCAGGTTGAGTCACCTCTTTCAAATTTTAGTTTTAAGTGGCTCTTATTTAATTTTATATCTTATTTATTCAGTGGTAGAGTTACAATTTAAGTTAATGCTAATGCTATGGAGGAAATCACTTTCTACAATATTATCATATATCCTGTATTGAATTCTTGATTTCCTGTTGACATCTCCAATTAAATAATAAATTCTCCAAATCTGCATATAAAAAGTAAATTTGTAGTTCCTTAATTTCGCCCAGCATATTCTCAACAATGTCAACATAATCTTTTCGTTTATTATTTCCAAAAATTTATTTCTCACATTCATAAGTTTTCTAGGCATTTTTTGCAATGATCATTACGTTTTAGAATAAAAGTTGTTTTCGAATTGTTTATATATTGAAATGAAAGAAAATTAATCGTTTCTAATTTTGTCTTTAAGTCGTGAAGTTTTCGTGTATTTCAGTATTACTAAATATATATT